TCTTCTCTAGCCCGTGCCGCGCCCGCTTAGCCCCCTCAATCCGGCCAAACAAAAGCTGTTTCGGCATGCGGTGGCAGGGCATGCGGGCTACATGACCCAGCCATCGCAGCCTTGCCTGCCGGAGGAGCTCACCGATGGGACCCTGCCCAGATCTTTCAAGGATTTGTGAGCTCCTCACACAATCCAGTCTGGTTAAACCCAGGATGGATCGTAGGCAGGCCAGCCTAAATGTTTCTAACCGGCGAAGATGTTCCACCAGGGGGGTCCACGTTTCGCAAGCGTAGAGAAGGGAGGGAATGACCGTGGCCGAGAAGACCTGAAGCTTAGTGCGGAGCGACAGACCAGGTAGCTTCCACACAGCGTTACGCAACCGATGAAAAGATATTGCCGCTCGACTGATTCGGAGTGAGACCTCTGCTGTTAAACTGGAGCCAGTCATAAGCACACTGCCCAGGTATGGGAAACTCTCCACTCTCTCCACAACTGCCCCATCACCGATTGGGAGTTGTGGGGGTGGAGTGTCCGATGGTACAAAATACCCAGGCAGGTGCTTAGTTTTGGTGGGGCTGATGGTAAGGCCCCACCTCTTAGTGGCACGCTCCAGTCTCAGCAGCAGCGTCTGCAACTCCTCCTCTGACTGAGCAGCTATTACCAAATCATCAGCATACATAACGTGGTTGAGCAATAGGGAGCCATCCCTTGACCGCACCCGGGCATCGATTAGCCTCCCATTATATCTGTACCATATGGAGATTCCCCCGGTACAGCTATTGAAGGCTTCACGAACTACGTGGTCAAAATAGATGTTAAATAATGTGGGAGCCAGAGGACATCCCTGTCGCACCCCAAGGTGTACAGGGAATGGCTCTGACTCCCGGCCACGTAGTTTTACCCGGGCCCACTCACCATCATGAAGGTCCTTAATGATCGTGAGCAGAGGGTCAGGTACTCCAAAAGCACGAAGAACGACCCAGAGCCCAGGCCTACTGATGGTATCATAGGCCTTGACCAGGTCAATAAAGCAGAGATGTAGGTCTTGTTGGAATTCCCTACACCTCTGCTGTAGCAGACGGACAGAAAATATGGCATCTGTGCAGGACCGCCCTTTCCTGAAACCGCATTGGGGCTCCGCAAGCCTCTCCTCAGCGTGCCTGGCAAGGCGATGCTGAATAATCCTTGCCAGGACCTTTCCCGGCACACTGAGGAGTGAGATGCCCCTGTAGTTGTTACAGTCTGTGCGGTCCCCCTTCTTAACAAGGGGGACCACCAGGGCATCCTTCCAATCCTGCGGAACCCGTCCAGTGGTCCAGACTGTTGTTATGATGTCATATAGGGCAGTCTGTGCACAAACGCCACCCTCCCTCAGCATTTCGCTTGGGAGATCATCTCTGCCCGCTGCCTTTCCTGGTCTCAGACTCCGGATCGCCTTCAATACTTCCTCAGCAGATGGCACCTCAGCCAGCCACTCACAGGGGGTGACTTCATCCAATATTTGAGGCACCGCAGCCTCAGCAGGGTCATCCTCACTTTGTGCCACGATGTTTTCCTGGCTGTGGGATTTTCCCTCCCCCAGGACCTCACAGAAATGCTCAGCAAATCTGCGAACCTGTTCCTGGGGGTCGGAAATTGGATCACCGTTTTTTCCCCTAATGATGGTAATAGGTGTGGCGCTGCAGGTTACTTTTTTGATGGAGTTAAATAGCGATTTGTGATCACGGGCCACTGAGGCAGACTCCATCTCCTCAGCAACCCGTGACCACCACCCATCCTTGCAGCGCCTCACGGCTCTCCGAACCTCCGAGCGAAGGCTGCGGTAAGCCTCCTCATTCTCTGACGTGGGATTCTGTAGCCGATGACAGTGGGCCTGTCGCTTTTTCTCAACCATCGTGAACAACTCCTCTGTCATCCAGGGTGTCTGGGGAGGTCTGGACCGCGTACCCAAAGCAGCCATTGCAGCTGCATGAGTCACAGTCCTAAACCTCGCCCATTTACCCTCGACATCAGGAGGAGTCGGGGACGATGCCAATCCCAGCCGCAAGCGATGATGAAATTCTCGCTTGCAACTTTCATCAGATAACTGAGACCAGGCCACTTTAGGTTGGAATGGGGTCCTGGGTGTACACCCACCACCGGAGTGGAAGAATGGCAGGCGCATCTTACAGATGACTAGTCGATGGTCAGAGGGCAGATCAGCTCCACGGTAGGTCCTGGTGTCAAGGACATGGGCTCGCATTCGCTGGTCCGTCACTATGTAGTCCAGCAGATGTTCTTGCTTGGACCCGGCATGCATCCATGATGTTGTGTGGATGCGCCGATGCCGGAACAGCGTGTTGGTAATTACAAGCCCATGGGCTGCACAAAAATCTAGCAGCCTCCTACCATTGTTATTGAGCTGATCTGGCCCATGCCCTCCAATCACTCCAGACCAGGTGCCAGTATCATGACCAACTCGGGCATTGAAGTCACCCAACATGATGACTCTATCCCGAGGGGCCACTTTAGCCAGCACCTGTGACAGGAGGTCATAGAAGGCATCTGACTCATCGGCTTTGCCTGCATCCCTCCACGGATGTTCATCTTCGGTGGGGGCATAAGTAACCACGACCACCATTCCTCGCCTCCGGTTGATGGGAAGGCGAGCCCAAAGTAGCCTGGGGCTTACAGCTTCCCACACCTCACCGCCACGCTCCCACGCCCCCTTCATTCTTTTGTTCAAAAGAAGACCCACACCCTGTTGTTTGGCAGTCTGCTGCCAAACAACACACACACACGTATACACACACGTACACACACACACGTACACACACACGTACACACACACGTACACACACACACGTACACACACGCACGCACGTACACACGTACATGCACACACGCATGTACACACGTACAGAAAGACAAATACAAAGATCCCCCATGTAGCCTTAACAGACTGTAGAGGCAAGTGCTGTTAGCGAACACCTATGATGGCTAGGACGGCTCACGACAGGGTGGGTGGCCAGCACCACGCCCGGCCGCCTTTGTCTCCCCAGTGGCGAAGTTTACACATCGCACTAAGTACTCATTTAAGGCTGAGTCGACCTAGGGGAAGCCCAGGACCGGTTCTGATTGATAATCGTCACCAGTGTGGGCCGTGAACGGGAATCGAACTGAGATCGCCGGGTTCATTGCGCAGCCTAGCGCTAACCGCTACACGGCCGCCCGTACACACACGCACGCACGTGCACAGACACACGTGCACACACACGCGCGTACACAGACACATACACACGCGCGCGCACACACACGTACACACACACACACATACACGCGCACACCCACACATACACGCGCGCACACGCACGTACGCACACACACATACACGTGCACACGTACGTACACCTACACACGCACGTACGCACACATACACGCGCACACACACGTACACCTACACACGCACGTATGCACACACACGCGTGCACACGCACGTACGCACACACACACGCGTGCACACGCACGTACATCCACACACGCACGTACACACACGCGTGCACACACACGTACGCACACACACGCACGTACACACACACACACACGCGCGCACACACACGTACACCCACACATGCACGTACGCACACACAAATACACGCGTGCACACACACGTACACCCACACACGTACGCACACACACGCGTGCACACGCACACACACACATGCACGTACACCCACACACGCACGTACACACACGCGTGCACACGCTCACCCTGCAGGATGCGCTCGCTCAGGGCCTTGACAAACTCCTTGGCTGCCTCGAACTCCTCCTTGCCCTCGCCTCCTCCGATCACAAACACCACCTCCATGGGCTCCTCGCACGGCACTGCTCGGGGTGGGGGAGGGTTCAGCAGCACTGTCACGATCATCATCATCATCATCAGCAGCATGGTCACGGTCATCATCATCAGCAGCAGCATGGTCACGGTCATCATCATCATCAGCAGCAGCATCGTCACGGTCATCATCAGCAGCATGGTCATGGTCATCATCATCAGCAGCAGCATCGTCATGGTCATCATCAGCAGCAGCAGCATCGTCATGGTCATCATCATCAGCAGCAGCATGGTCATCATCATCATCAGCAGCAGCAGCATGGTCACGGTCATCATCATCAGCAGCTTTGTCATGGTCATCATCATCATCATCAGCAGCTTTGTCATGGTCATCATCATCAGCAGCATGGTCATGGTCATCATCATCATCAGCAGCAGCAGCATGGTCACGGTCATCATCATCAGCAGCTTTGTCATGGTCATCATCATCATCAGCAGCAGCAGCATGGTCACGGTCATCATCATCAGCAGCTTTGTCATGGTCATCATCATCAGCAGCAGCAGCTTTGTCATGGTCATCATCATCATCATCATCACTGTCATGGTCATCATCATCATTAGCAGCATTGTCACGATCATCATCAGCAGCAGCAGCATTGTCATGGTCATCATCAGCAGCAGCATCGTCATGGTCATCATCATCAGCAGCATCGTCATGGTCATCATCATCAGCAGCATCGTCATGGTCATCATCAGCAGCAGCAGCATCGTCATGGTCATCATCATCAGCAGCAGCATGGTCATCATCATCATCATCAGCAGCATGGTCACGGTCATCATCATCAGCAGCTTTGTCATGGTCATCATCATCAGCAGCTTTGTCATGGTCATCATCATCAGCAGCATGGTCATGGTCATCATCATCATCAGCAGCAGCAGCATGGTCACGGTCATCATCATCAGCAGCAGCTTTGTCATGGTCATCATCATCAGCAGCACTGTCATGGTCATCATCATCAGCAGCAGCAGAAGCACCAGAGCCACGGTGTTAATCATCAAGGTCATCGTCAACAGCAGCCACCATCCGTCACCACGGCCCTCGTGCCAGGCCAGGTGCCGTTCCCGGGCACCCACGCACCTCCTCCCACCGCGGGCGCCAGCGGCGTCGTCGCCGCGGGCGCCAGCGGCGTCGTCGTCGGCGGGGGCAGCGTGGGCAGCGGGGGCAGCGTGGGCAGCCCCACGTCGGGCGGCGGGGTGTAGAGGCAGCAGCCGTCGAGGACCTGGCGCGCGAACTGCCGGTCCAGCGACTCGAAGGTTGTGAGCAGCGGCTCCGGGTAGGTGCCCAGCTCCTCCAGCTGGCCCACGTCCACGCGGTCGCCCACGCCGATGGGGATGACGTCCACGCCCTGCCGCTTGCTCAGCGCCGCCGGCAGCGTGATGGTGTCGGAGGAGGGCGCCGCGGTGATGAGGAAGAGCACGCGAGGTGGCGCCTCCTCCTCCTCCTCGTCGGTCGTCTTCGTCTTCGTCTCCTCCTCCTCCTCCTCGCCGCCTTGCCCCGGGGACGGCAGGCGCAGCACGTCGTGCAGGGCGCTCAGGACGGCGCCGCCCGTGTTGGTGGCGTTCCCGCCGCGGAAGCCGATGGCGCGCACCGCGTCCTCCACGGCGCCGCGCGAGCGCCGCGCGTCGAGCACGAGCTCGGTGACGGGCACGTCGGCGTACTGCACCACGGCCACGCGGCTCGCGTTGGCGTCCGCGGCGGTCACCGCCTCCACGATGAACTCCTTCACCTTCTCGAAGTTCCGCTCTCCGACCGCGTCCGAGCCCTCCACCACGAACACCAGGTCCATGCGTTGGTACGACGGCGGCGGCGGCGGCGGCGGCGGCGACGACGACGACGGTCCCGCGGTCGTCGCGGCCGTCGCGGCCGTCGCGGCCGGGACGCCGCCGATCGCGGTCGTCGCCGCCGCCGCCGCCGGCCGCGTCCCGGCGGTCGCCCGCGCGGCCGCGATCACGTCGGGTGGCACGTCGCCCATGAAGCACAGCTCGCGCACAAACTCCTCCCGGCGGCGCAGGAGCGCGGCGACGTCCGGCACGCGCGCCGCGCGGTTGTCGGGCGACCGGGCCGTCACCGCTCGCAGCGCCGCCTCCGAGGGCCCGTCGCCGACGGCCAGCGCCATGACGCGCACGCCCTTGCGGGCCGCGTAGGCCACGCCGCGGGCGACGTCGTCGCCGGCGGCGGGGCGGCCAGCCGTGATCAGCACGGCGGCCTTGGGCACCCCCTTGCGGGCCTTGGCCGAGCCCAGCACGTAGACGGAGGCGTACTTGAGGGCCTCGCCCGCGCGGGCCTCGTCCACGTCCGGGTAGGGGACGGCCGCGGCGATCTCCTTGAGGCGGGCCGCGGACTCCTTGACGGAGATGCCGAAGACGTTGAGCGGGCCCGAGTGGAAGAGGACGAGAGCGACGCGGACGCGCGTCTGGCCGATCTGCAGGCGCTCCATGGAGCGCACCACGAAAGACTTCGCCGCCTCGAACTCGGCGCGGTCCAACGCCGTCGAGCCGTCCAACAGGAAGGCCACCTCCATCACCTTCTCGCAGCCCTCGGGCGGCACGGCCGGCGGGCCGCCGGGCGGCGCCGCGGACGCGGGCGCCGTCGGCGGCGGCGGCGGCGGCGGTCGGAGCTCGGCGACGGCGGTGGGGGAGGCGGCGGCGACGGCGGCTGTGGGCACGTGCGGACGAGTCGCCCCGCACGGGTGGCACTGCAGCTTGAGGCGGGTGCACAGGCTGCGGGCGGCAGGGCGGTGGCGGCGTTAGCAGGGACGCCGCGTCGCTCGCAGCTACCGGCACTCCGGCGGCAGTTGCGTTCATTTGTTTGTGATTGGTGCGCCGAAAGGAGGAGAGGAAGGAGATGGAGGAGATGGAGGCGGCGGGGGGGGAGAAGGGAGCGAGGGAGAAGAGGAAGCAGAGGGAGGGAGGGAGGGAGTCGGTACCAGATGGCGCAGTTGTGCTGCTCAGGGTTCAGCACGGTCACCTGCCCCTCCGGGATCCTGCGGCCCTCGTGCAGACACGCGGGGCACCGCTCGCTGTGCACACAACTCTCCGTGCTCTCGTCCCACAGTGAGCCTGCATCAACCAACACCACCACCAGCAGCAGCAGCAGCAGCATGATTATCATCATCAGCAGCAGCAGCAGCAACTGTGAGGATGATGATGGTGCAGTGATGATGGTGGTTATGGTGGTGCTTATGGTGCTGGTAATCATGGTGAACATAATGGTGATAGCGATGATTATAATGGAGATTATGGCGATGGCGATTATTATTAAATGATGATAGGGATGACAATGATGATGATAACAATGATGGAGATGACAATGATGGAGATGATAACAATGACGCTGGAGATGACAATGGTGATGAAGATGACAATGGTGATGATGATAACAATGATGCTGGAGATGACACTGGTGGTGATGACGATGACGCTGGAGATGAGAATGGTGATGATGACGACGATGACGCTGGAGATGACAATGGTGATGATGATGACGACGATGACGCTGGAGATGACAATGGTGGTGACGACGATGACGCTGGAGATGATGGTGATGACGATGACGCTGGAGATGATACTGGTGATGAAGACGACGATGACGCTGCAGATGACAATGGTGGTGACGACGTCCGCCCGAGGGCCTCACCGTTGGGGCACCGCCGGTGGCACCCCTCGAGGCAGCTGAAGGGGCAGTCCCTGACGGGCGGCGACTGGCAGGACACGGGGCACGCGGGCCCGCACGCGTCGAAGTGCCACTCGCACGCGCCGCCGCCATCGTCGTTGCCGCCGTCGTCGCCGCCGTGCGGCTTGGAGTCCTCGTCGCACGACACGGCTGCGACGCAAACACGGCGGCACAACCGTGCGTCACGAGCGGGATATCGCGCCAGTCGGTGGGGGGCGGTACTGTGGTAGCGGTCAGCGCCCGGTGCCATCGACGCCCGTGACGATTAGCTGAACCGGTACCTGGGCCTCCCCTAGGTCCACTCGGCCTCAAATTAGTACCTGGTGAGATGTGTAAACATCGCCACTGGGGAGGCGAAGGTGGCCGGGCGCGATTGTTGGCCACCCATGCCGGCCTTAATAGGTGCTCACTAACAGCACCTCCCCTATAGTCTGTTAAGGTTATACGGGGGGATCTTTGTATTTGTAGGTGTGTGGGTGTATATAGGTGTGTGGGTGTGTGTGTATAGGTGTGTGTCTGTATGTAGGTGTGTATATAGGTGTGTGGGTGTGTGTGTGTGCGTGTATTTAGGTGTGTGTGTGTGTATGTAGGTGTGTGTGTATGTAGGTGTTGCCTGGGTATTTTGCATCGGACACTCCACCCCCACAACTCCCAATTGGTGATGGGGCAGTTGTGGAGAGAGTGGAGAGTTTCCCATACCTGGGCAGTGTGCTTATGACCGGTTCCAGTTTAACAGCAGAGGTCTCACTCCGAATCAGTCGAGCGGTAATATATTTTCATCGGTTGCGTAACACTGTGTGGAAGCTACCTGGTCTGTCGCTTCGCACTAAGCTTCAGGTCTTCTGGTCATTCCCTCCCTTCTCTACGCTTGCGAAACGTGGACCCCCCTAATGGAACATCTTCACCGGTTAGAAACATTTAGGCTGGCCTGCCTACGATCCATCCTGGGTTTAACTAGGCTGGATTGTGTGAGGAGCTCACAAATCTTTGAAAGATCTGGGCAAGGTCCCATCGGTGAGCTCCTCCGGCAGGTAAGGCTGCGTTGGCTGGGTCATGTAGCCCGCATGCCCAGCAACCGCATGCATCAGCCAGTCATCTCAGTCAGTCGACCCGTGGCACCTGGGTCTGCCCCGTGACCTCCTGCCAGCGGGCGTTCGACACTTCACGTGGCCTCAAGGTGCACATGGCCTGGCACAAGCGTCGTGGTGACGTCACCACCACTTAGTGGCGAATGGCGGTCGTTGTTGTATGTAGGTGTATGTGTGTGTGGGTGTATGTAGGTGTGTGTGCATGTAGGTGTGTGTGTGTGTGTATGTAGCTGTGTGTGTATGTAGGTGTATGTGTGTGTGTGCATGTAGGTGTGTGTGTGTGTATGTAGGTGTGTGTATGTAGGTGTATGTGTGTATGTAGGTGTGTGTGTGTATGTAGGTGTGTGTGTGTGTATGTAGGTGTGCGTGTGTGTATGTAGGTGTATGTGTGTGTGTATGTAGGTGTATGTGTGTGTGTATGTATGTGTGTGTGTATGTAGGTGTATGTGTGTGTGTGTGTATGTAGGTGTGTGTATGTAGGTGTGTGTGTATGTGTGTAGGTGTGTGTGTATGTGTGTAGGTGTGTGTGTATGTGTGTAGGTGTGTGTGTGTATGTAGGTGTATGTGTGTGTGTATGTAGGTGTATGTGTGTGTATGTAGGTGTATGTGTGTGTATGTAGGTGTGTGTATGTATGTAGGTGTATGTGTGTGTGTATGTAGGTGTATGTGTGTGTGTATGTAGGTGTATGTGTGTGGGTGTGCGCGTGTGTTTAGCTATGGGAGGAATACAAACTACAGAAGGAAACCCGTGCAGAACAGCGGGAGAACATACAAACGGTGATGACGATGATGACGGCGATGATGACAATGGTGACGATATCCACGACGATGACTATGATGGCGATAACGACAATGAGGACAATAACAATGACGCCGATAATGATATCGACGAGGGCGACGACGAGGGCGACGTCCTCGCGCGAACGTACGGCAGAAGTCGGACGAGCGCCAGCGCACGTGCGCCCCGGCCTGTGCACACGCGTGTGCGTACGCTGCGACGCTGTCGCAGAGGCACGCGCAGTCGCCCGGAGCCTCGCACGCACACGCCTCGTTCACGCACCACTCCAGGTGCTCCTGCACCGACACCTGGCGGGGCGCACGGACGGGGGCACGGGGGCACGGGTTAGGGTGAGGGCCGAGGTAGTAACAAGGTAGGGGTAGGTCAGGGGTAGGGCAAAAGAAGGGCTAGGGGTGAGGCAGGGGTAGGGGTAAGGGCAGGGGTAGGGGCGAGGCAGGGGTAGGGGTAAGGGGTAGGGGTAAGGGCAGGGGTAGGGTCGAGGCAGGGGTAGGGGTGAGGCAGAGGGAGGGGCAGGGGTAGGGGTGAGGCAGGGGTAGGGGTAAGGGCAGGGGTAGGGGTAAGGGCAGGGGTAGGGGTGAGGCAGGGGTAGGGGTGAGGCAGGGGTAGGGGTGAGGCAGGGGTAGGGGCGAGGCAGGGGTAGGGTAAGGGCAGGGGTAGGGGTGAGACAGGGGTAGGGGTAAGGGCAGGGGTTGGGGTAAGGGCAGGGGTAGGGGTAAGGGCAGGGGTAGGGGCGAGGCAGGGGTAGGGGTGAGGCAAGGGTAGGGGTGAGGCAAGGGTAGGGGTGAGGCAGGGGTAGGGGTGAGGCAGGGGTAGGGTTGAGGCAGGGGTAGGGGTGAGACAGGGGTAGGGGTGAGGCAGTGGTAGGGGTGAGGCAGAGGTAGGGGTAAGGGCAGGGGTAGGGGTAAGGGCAGGGGTAGGGGTGAGGCAAGGGTAGGGGTGAGACAGGGGTAGGGTAAGGGCAGGGGTAGGGGCAGGGGTAGGGGTGAGGCAGGGGCAGGCTTGCAGGGCATGGTGGATCATTCACGTGTTCGACCACACATTTGTTTGTGAATTCATTCACTTGGTCACCCACTCGCTGATTTCATTCATTCGCTCACTCATTCAGTCATTCATTAAGTCATTCGCTCAACTTGATCACTCACTAAAATTCATCCGCTCGTTCATTTTCCTCATTTATTCGCCCGGTCATTCATTCATCTGCTCATTCATTCCCGTCATGCATTGGCACGCATCATTCATTGGCTCATATAATTCATTCGCCCGCTCGTTCATTCCCCTTATTCATCGGCTCGTCTCATTCATTGGCTCGTATCATTCATTCGCCCGCTCATTCATTCCCCCCGCTCGTTCATTCCCCTCATTCATTGGCTCGCTTCATTCATTCGCCCGCTCGTGCACGCAGAGGTACCCGCTTGTTGCACTCTTGGAAGGCGGCGCTGAGCATCACGGAGCACGCGGCCTCCGCCTGCGAGCGCTTGCGGAAGTCTCCTTTGCAGGCGGGGACCAGCTGAGTCCACCATGGCACAGTCACCCGCACACGTGTCACCCCGCACACGTGTCACCCCGCACACGTGTCACCCCGCACACGTGTCAACCCGCACACGTGTCACCCACGCACGTGTCAACCCGCACACGTGTCGACCCGCACACGTGTCAATCCGCACACGTGTCAACTCGCACACGTGTCAGCCCGCACATGTGTCACCCACACACGTGTCACCCCGCACACGTGTCACCCGCACACGTGTCAACCCGCACACGTGTCAACCCGCACACGTGTCACCCCGCACACGTGTCACCCCGCACACGTGTCGATCCGCACACGTGTCAACTCGCACACGTGTCAGCCCGCACACGTGTCACCCACACACGTGTCACCAGCATACGTGTCACCCACACACGTGTCAACCCACACAAAGTGTCACCCACACACGTGTCACCCACACACGTGTCACCCACACAAGTGTCAATCGTAGCATAGTCAAACATTGCATAGCCAGACACTCCAACTGATACTGATGATGATGGATGTTGCTGCTGTTGATGATGATGACGCTACTACTGTTAGTTATTTTGCTGCTGATCATGATGATGACGACAATGGCAATGGTAAAGATGATTATGACAACAACGATGATGACGAGGATGAAAAAATGATGAGGATGACGACTAAGATAATGATGATAATGACGTTGACGCTGCTGCCATTACCATCATGATGACGGCGATGACATTGATGACCACATCCTCGCCGATGATGACGACGGTGATGACGGTGACGATGGAGACGGCGACGATGACGACGGTGATGACGAGGATGATGACGACAACAGTGACGGTGACGACGATGATGATGACGAGGATGATGACGACAACAGTGGCCGTGACGACGATGATGTTGACGACGATGACGATGACCACGGTGATGACAATGATGACGACGGTGACGACAATGATGGCGACAGTGACAGTGATGATGACGACAGTGACAGTGATGATGACGACGGTAACAATGACGACGAGGATGACGGTGACGATGATGATGATTATGACGTCAACAGTGACGGTGACGACAGCGACGATGATAACAGTGACGATGACAATGATGACGGTGACGAGGAGGAAGACAATGATGACAACAGTGACGGTGAAGACGATGATGACGACGGTGACGATGATGATGATGATTATGACGGCAACAGTGACGTTGACGATGACGATGACGACGATGATAACAGTGACCGTAATGACGACGATGTCGATAACAACGGTGACGACGACGATGACGACGGCGACGAGGAGGAGGAGGAGGAGGACGGTGATGACCACGGTGACGGTGATAAACACGGTGACGACGAGGAGGAGGAGGACGGTGATGACAATGGTGACGGTGATAACCACGGTGACGACGGTGACGAGGAGGAGGAGGACGGTGATGACCACGGTGACGGTGTTAACCACGGTGACGAGGAGGAGGAGGACGGTGATGACCACGGTGACGGTGTTAACCACGGTGACGAGGAGGAGGAGGACGGTGATGACCACGGTGACGACGGTGACGAGGTGCAGGGTGCGGTACCGGCGGCGCGGTGGCGCACGTGGGGTCCGTGCGCCAGGAGTCGCCGAAGTCGGCGGCGCTGCCCTCGGCGGCGTTGCCGCTGCTCACCAGGTCGTCGTTCTGGCTCCCGTCGAAGTTGCCGCACAGGCCGCAGACTTTGCCCTGCGCGGAGGGACACAAAGGGGACCTCGGTGCCTTCTTGGCCCCGCGCTGGCTAGGAGATGTTGACTACCTCGCCTGGTCTACAGGAGGTCGTGGGTTCAATCCCGACCCGGATGCGTGCTGCTGCTGTATATTTGGAGTTTGTATCTCTCTCTCATCATCATCGCGGTGGCTATGAGATGTTGACTACCTCGCCTGGTCTACAGGAGGTCGTAGGTTCAATCCCGACCCGGATGCGTGCTGTTGTATAGTTGGAGTTTGTATCTCTCTCTCATCATCATCATCACGGTGGCTAGGAGATGTTAAGTACCTCGTCTGGTGTACAGGAAGTCGTGGGTTCGATCCTGACGACGCCTGCTGCTGCTGTATACTTGGAGTTTGCGTCTCTCTCTCTCCCCGTGGTCGCGTGGATTTTTCTCCTTGTGTTTTTATGCCCTCCACATTTAGAATCAACATCACGCGTTTAGAGGCTGCTGCTATAAATATCCACATGATGATGATGGCCAGGTCGCTTCTGATAAACAGCTACACAGCAGCTCAATAGTGGGCCTTACCTGATAAAATAAAAATAAAATAGTTGAGTTTAAATCGTTTTTAATAGCTTCCCAATACCCCTGCTACCATCTCAGTGGGGTGATGCTTATCTCACTGGCATTGCAATCCAGAGATCGCCGGTTCGATTCCATCTCCTGGCTCGGCAGCTGGAACGATGGGGGCGGGGGAGGGGCGGTGAGTTTTTTTTTAAATCCACCCTCACCTCCCGTAGTAAATTCGAAAAAAAAGTTTTGCTGGCTGGCTGGCTGGCTGGCTGGCTGGTTGGCCAGCTGTAACGTGACGTGACGGACGGACGGACACACACCCAAAGGTCACGCGGCCTGCGAGTCTTCCTCACGTTAACAAGAACAAGTTTTGCTGGCTGGCTGGCTGGCTGGCTGGTTGGCCAGCTGTAACGTGACGGACGGACGGACACACACCCAAAGGTCACGCGGCCTGCGAGTCTTCCTCACGTTAACAAGAACAAGTTTTGCTGGCTGGCTGGCTGGCTGGCTGGCCAGCTGTAACGTGACGGACGGACGGACGGACACACACCCAAAGGTCACGCGGCCTGCGAGTCTTCCCCACGTTAACAAGAACAAGTTTTGCTGGCCGGCTGCTTGACTGGCTGGCCGGAGTAAATGCGGCGGACGGACGCGGCGATGCCCCGAACGGGCGGGCGGGCGGGCGGGCGGGCGGGCGGGCACGTCCCTCACCTGGTAGCGGCCGTCGATGGTGACGACGACGCGCATCGCGCGGTCCCACAGCACGGAGAAGCCCCGCTCGGTGAGGAGCAGCAGGTAGGCACCGGCGCGCCGCACGCTCAGATCCGCACCCTCCGGCGCCTTCTTCCTCACGTGGGCCTGGCCGGGGTCGCGGCGGGGTCGCTTTGAGGTTGTGGCGGGGTCACGGCGGGGGTCACGGCGGGGGTCACGTCGAGGTTGTGGCGGGGTCACGGCGGGGGTCACGGCGGGGTCACGTCGAGGTTGTGGCGGGGTCACCTCGAGGTTGTGGCAGGGTCACGGCGGGTTCACGGCGGGGTCACATCGAGGTTGTGGCGGGATCACGGTGGGGTCATGGCGGGGTCACGGCGGGGTCACGTCGAGGTTGTGGCGGGGTCACGGCGGGGGTCACGGCGGGGTCACGTCGAGGTTGTGGCGGGGTCACGGCGGGGTTACGGCGGGGTCACCTCGGGGTTGTGGCGGGGTCACGGTGGGGTCACGGCGGGGTCACGTCGAGGTTGTGGCGGGGTCACGGTGGGGTCATGGCGAGGTCACCTCGAGGTTGTGGCGGGGTCACGGCGGGTTTACGGCGGGGTCACGGCGAGGTTGTGGCGGGGTCACAGTGGGGTCACGGCGAGGTCACGTCGAGGTTGTGGCGGGGTCACGGTGGGGGTCCCCACAACGGTGATTTATTACAGGCGCCGAGTCGCTTAGTGGCGAATGGCGGGTGTCGGTATCGGTGCCGTGGCCTTACAAAGTGAAAGCACACGACGTTTTGGGCAACGAGCCTTCTTAACAAGTACATGTTCGAGAAAAATTAAGAGAGAGCGAGACAGCGAGAAAGAGAATGAGAGAGCGAGAGCGAGCGCTAGAGAGAGAGAGCGGGAGAGAGAGAGCTAGAGAGAGAGAGAGAGAAAGAGAGAGCGAGAGAGAGAGCGAGAGAGAGAGCGAGAGAGAGAGCGGGAGAAAGCGAGAGCGAGAGCGAGAGAAAGCGAGAGAGAGAGCGAGAGAGAGAACGAGAGAAAGAGAGAGCGAGAGAGAGAGCGAGAGAGAGAGCGAGAGAGAGAGCGGGAGAAAGCGAGAGCGAGAGCGAGAGAAAGCGAGAGAGTGAGCGAGAGAGTGAGCGAGCGAGAGAGCGAGAGAGAGCAAGAGAGAGGACGTTGAACGTACCGCGCCGTCCATCATCTCGACGAGAGTTCCGCGGTAAAACACCGACACACGCTTGGAGCAGCGCCGTCCCGGTCGCGTGGCACAGCCGGCGTTCTCCACCAGCACGCGGAACGAGCCGCCTCCGTCGCCGCCGCCGCCGTCGCCGCGATCGTCGTCACCGCGATCACCGCAGAAGTCCTGGGCCGTGGGGGCACGGGGAGGGGGGGCACGTGAGAGACAGGGTGAGAGAGAGAGAGAGCGTTTCAGTTTTCAGTTTCATTTATTACATACTAGATTTACTCCCCAGCTTCGCCCGAGACTTGGATTCGCCACGCCCGGCCGCCTTTGTCTCCCCAGTGGCGATGTTCACACACCACACCAGTTACTCGTTTGAGGCCGAGTCGACCTAGGGGAGGCCCGGGACCGGTTCAAATAATCGTCACTGGTGGTGGTGGCCGTGAGCGGGAATGAAACTCGGCCGCCGGGTTCGCAGCGCAGCGCTAACCACTGCACCACCGCTCCCCGCACACACACACACGCGCGCGCGTCCATAGGTACACATACACGCGCTTGCTGCAGACACACACACACGACTTTCAGGGTGCGTACGGCAGGAAACGACTGAAATAATAAAGCAATCGCCTTAGACCTGCAACACATTTGTGTTTCACTTTACCCGCGGAGGGTTGGTGGGGGGTGACATCAGCAGGCACACTGCGTGATGCTTCCACATGCGCGGGTCACGTGACAGGTTTGACGTCACAGCTCACTTTGCCGTGCAAAAAATAAATGCATTATTGAGCTCCCCCCCCCCCAAAAAAAAACTAAAATTGTATTTTTATAATTTTTGCTTGGTGTACAGTCTGGAAAGTAACCACATGGCAAATTTCAAGTTTGTTGCATGTCGGGAAGTACGCTAAACATTTTGAACAGACACACACAATCACAACTTTGCCTTTAATATATATAGAAGATAACCCTGTGAGCCATGCGGCTCTTGCCTCGAGTACAACCGCAACAAAACAAAACATGAAACATCTTAAAGTGACTACACGCAGCAGAAAAATCCTGGAAAAAAACAGCAAAGTCTTCCAGAAAAAAACACCGAGAGTGAGAGAGTGAGAGAGAGTGAGAGAGAGCGTGAGCAGAGATTGAAATCTTTCGTGAAATCTTTCATTTAAACAGGGCGGCGGCGGGGGGGGGGTGGCACATAAAGCAAAGCATTGAAACAAAAGAACCGATGGACGAAGCAAAGTGCCGACTACACCGAGCATCGTTTTGTTTCCTCTGATCGTGAAAAAAAAGAGAGATGGAGAGGAGCGTCAGGCCACGAGGACCTCGTCAAGGAGCTACAAACACCGTCACGCCACCTCCGCTCATCCCCACGGCGGCAACAGCGGCGGCCGCTGCGTCTCACCTGCCCCAACACGTACCTGCAGGCACGTCTCACCTGCGCCAACACGTACCTGCAGGCGTGCCTCACCTGCGCCAACACGTGCCTGCAGGCGCGTGTCTCACCTGCGCCAACACGTACCTGCAGGCACGTGTCTCACCTGCGCCAACACGTGCCTGCAGGCGCGTGCCTCACCTGCGCCAACACGTACCTGCAGGCGTGCCTCACCTGCGCCAACACGTACCTGCAGGCGTGCCTCACCTGCGCCAACACGTACCTGCAGGCGCGTGTCTCACCTGCGCCAACACGTGCCTGCAGGTGCGTGTCTCACCTGCGCCAACACGTACTTGCAGGCGCGTGTCTCACCTGCGCCAACACGTACCTGCAGGCGCGTGTCTCACCTGCGCCAACACGTACCTGCAGGCGCGTGTCTCACCTGCGCCAACACGTACCTGCAGGCGCGTGTCTCACCTGCGCCAACACGTACCTGCAGGCGCGTGTCTCACCTGCGCCAACACGTACCTGCAGGCGCGTGTCTCACCTGCGCCAACACGTACCTGCAGGCGCGTGTCTCACCTGCGCCAACACGTACCTGCAGGCGCGTGTCTCACCTGCGCCAACAGGTACCTGCAGGCGCGTGTCTCACCTGCGCCAACACGTACCTGCAGGCGCGTGTCTCACCTGCGCCAACACGTACCTGCAGGCGCGTGTCTCACCTGCGCCAACACGTACCTGCAGGCGCGTGTCTCACCTGCGCCAACACGTACCTGCAGGCGCGTGTCTCACCTGCGCCAACACGTACCTGCAGGCGCGTGTCTCACCTGCGCCAACACGTACTTGCAGGCGCCCCCGAAGGTGAACCTCGTCCCGTCGAAGGTGGCGTAGTGAGCGGTGCCCACGGTGCCGCACGAGGCGGGGCACACGTGGCCCGTGCAGTGCCACCTGCGCCCTCGGCACAGGCTGCGGGAAAGAAGAGGGGGCGGGGGAGGGGGGTCGACGGTTCGCGACGACGAGGTGGCGACGAGTTGGCGACGAGGTCACCGGACCGGCGATGTTCGTCTAAGGCGGCGTTTTGACGGCGGTGTCGACGATCGGCCGGTCGGCTCGGCGGTGGGAAGGCCGTGAGCTCGAAACCTGGTTGGGTCGGCGGGCGACTCAGATCGTCGTCGTCATCGTCGTCATCGTCGTCATCGTCGTCATCGTCGTCATCGTCGTCGTCATCTCTAGCTCCCGCCGGGAAGGATAAAATGGGCACCACTTTGCGTTGGGAAAAGTCAACAGTGAGAGTCCTACGGATCGACTCACCCCCTGACCCCTCCCCCCCTCCTCTTCCCAAACCTCCCCCCCCCCACAACCCCGTCCATAGCAATGTGGAATTTCCACCACTGGCCCTGCCAAGGCTGTACACGGCAGAGGAGCGGCGGTGTCTCAATTGGCGGGTGGCCTGGCCGGGTGGTGCGGTCAGGTCAATCGTCTGAGTCACCCACACAGCCGACAAGTTGCCCGGTCAAGAGGTCAACCGGTCAACAGAATGCTTGGTCAAAAGGTCAAACCATTCGACAGGTTTCACAGTCCCATGTCAGCCGGTTAACAAAGTCAACCGGTCAACAAGTCAACCAGCTGTCAGTTTTGACAGTGGCAACCAATGAACGCGTTTCCTGGTCGAGAAGAAACTCGGTCATGAGTTCACCTGGTCAACGAACCCCCACTCAACAAGTTTCCCAATAAAACGCACAAAGCAGTCAACAAGTTTCCCAGTCAAAAGGTCAACCATTCAACAAGTTGCCCAGTCAAAAGGTCAACCACTCAATAAGTTGCCCAGTCAAATGTTCAACACAGTCAACAACTTTCCCGGTCTAAAGGTCAACCATTCAACAAGTTGCCCAGTCAAATGCTCAAAGCAGTCAACACGTGTCCCGGTCTAAAGGTCAACCATTCAACAAGTTGCCTAGCCAAATGCTCAAAGCAGTCAACACGTGTCCCGGTCTAAAGGTCAACCATTCAATAAGTTGCCCAGTCAAAAGGTCAACCATTCAACAAGTTGCCCAGTCAAATGCTCAACACAGTCAACAAGTTGCCAGGTCTAAAGAGCAACTCATTCAACAAGATTCCCAGTCAAATGCTCAACACAGTCAACAAGTTGCCCGGTCTAAAGAGCAACTCATTCAACAAGTTGACCGGTGAAAAGCGGTTGCCAGGCGAGAGGGTGAGAGGGTGAGCGAGCGAGCGCGGAGCGAAGTCGCCACGACGTACCAGGTGTTGCAGGCGACCTGCACGGTCCTGCCAGGGGCGAACTCCTTGCCGTGGTGCAGGCACGGGCACTGCTCAGGCAGCACGCACTTGGAGCCATGCAGCACCTGCAGCGTCGTCACCATCATCATCAGGGTATTCATCAGCGTAATCATCATCAGCGTAATCATCATCAGCGTAATTATCATCATCATCCAGATGCACTTGGAGCCGTGCAGCACCTGCGGCATCATCATCATCAGCGTGAGCATCATCATCAGCAGCATCGTGAGCATCATCAGCATGAGTATCATCAGCATCATCATCATCAGCAGCAGCAGCATCATCACGATGATGATGCTGCACTAACAACCATGCACCGTCTGCAGCAACAGCGTCATCATCACCAACATCAACGTCAGCATGACGATCACCATCTCCACCATCACTGCGATGCTCAGAGCCTGCTTCACCACCACCATCACCACCACCACAATCACCACCACCACAATCACCACCACCACCACAATCACCACCACAATCACCACCATCACCACAATCACCACCACCACCATCACCACCACCACAATCACCACCACCACAATCACCACCACCACAATCACCACCACAATCACCACCACCACCACAATCACCACCACCACCACCACCACAATCACCACCACCAATCGACTGACCCTGCCCTGGGGGCACGCGCATCCGGAGACGCAGCCGCTGCTGCGGCATTCGGCGGAGTCGAGGCTGCGGCACGAGCGAGCGCACTCGACGCCCACGGCAGAGCGGTCACCGGCACGGCACGGCACACGCACCATGGGCGGGCGGCACGGGGCACTCCTCCGCACTACGGGGGGGGGGGGGGGGGCACACATGGGGGAGGGGGGAGAGGAGGGAGAGGGGGAGGAGGGGGAGGTAGCCGGGAAGGGGGGGGGGCAGGAGGAGGTAACAGAGAGAGGAGGTAGTAGGATAACAGGGGGGAGATAGGAGGGAAAGAGGGAGATCGAGATGTGGCGGGGGGGAGGAGGGGGGAAGGGCGGGGGGTGGGGGGTGTTGGTGGGCTGAAAACAGCGGTGCCACCGCCAGCCTACCGCTACAAGTCTGTCGTGGTTGATGGCTCCACCGCCAGAGACACACATCATGCGGAGCGCAAGGCGGGGTCTGGGCGGTGGCGGTTCACAATCGGCCGAGCCAGAGACGCCGAGCCGGCACTGCTGGGGCCCGAGTTCGAGTCCCAGGTCTGGGTGTCTCTCTCTGGGGGGGGCGCCCACGGTTTGTGTTAACCCGAGACAAAGATCCCCGCCGGTGTAGCCTTAACGGACTGCTGGGGCAAGTGCTGCTAGCGGGCAGCAGCGCCTACGGAGGTCGGCACGGCACACGACGGGGGTTGGGTGGTCGGCACCACACACGGCCGCCTTTGCCTCCCCACTGCTGTTTACACACCGCGCCCAGTACTGTACACATTTAAGGCTGAGTCGACCTAGGGGAGGCCCAGGACCGCTGCCACTGTTATTGGTCCACGAGTGGGACTCGAACTCGGGTTGCCGGATCATCATGACGACCAACTTGTTGCAATAGTCGTCCACAAATAGCTCATTCAGTCGCAAGCAACCGGTTGCGAGAGACGTCCCCACGCGCGGGCGACTCGGTCGCAAGCAACCGGTCTCGGGGTGTGGGAGGGGCGCCGAGACCGCCCACGCAACGAGTTGCATGCGGTCCGTGGGGGTGCGGGCACACACACACACACCTCCACGGGTTGCGCGCGATCCGTGGGGGTGCGGGCACACACACACGCACCTCCATGGGTTGCGTGGGATCCGTGGGGGTGCGGGCACACACACACACACACGCACCTCCACGGGTTGCGTGCGATCCGTGGGGGTGCGGGCACACACACACACACGCACCTCCATGGGTTGCGTGCGATCCGTGGGGGTGCGGGCACACACACACACACACCTCCACGGGTTGCGTGGGGTCCGTGGGGGTGCGGGCACACACACACACACACACACCTCCACGGGTTGCGTGGGGTCCGTGGGGGTGCGGGCACACACACACACACCTCCACGGGTTGCGTGCGGTCCGTGGGGGTGCGGGCACACACACACACCTCCACGGGTTGCGTGCGATCCGTGGGGGTGCGGGCACACACACACACACACGCACCTCCACGGGTTGCGCGCGATCCGTGGGGGTGCGGGCACACACACACACGCACCTCCACGGGTTGCGTGCGGTCCGTGGGGGTGCGGGCACACACACACACCTCCATGGGTTGCGTGCGGTCCGTGGGGGTGCGGGCACACACACACACACACCTCCACGGGTTGCGTGGGATCCGTGGGGGTGCGGGCACACACACACACACCTCCATGGGTTGCGCGCGATCCGTGGGGGTGCGGGCACACACACACACACACCTCCACGGGTTGCGTGGGGTCCGTGGGGGTGCGGGCACACACACACACACACCTCCACGGGTTGCGTGGGCGGTCCGTGGGGGTGCGGGCACACACACACACACACCTCCACGGGTTGCGTGGGCGGTCCGTGGGGGTGCGGGCACACACACACACACACCTCCACGGGTTGCGTGGGCGGTCCGTGGGGGTGCGGGCACACACACACACACTCACCTCGCTCCACGGCGGCGGGGTCCCGCAGGGTGGCGAGGGCGGGCGTCGCGCCGTGAGTCTCCGAGCAGCGCATCACCCCGGCCTCGCAGTAGCTGGCAGACACGCGCAGAACACACACACACACACAGAACACACACACACAGAACACACACACACACAGAACACACACACACACAGAACACACACACAGAACACACACACACAGAACACACACACACACAGAACACACACAACACACACACACACAGAACACACACGCGCAGAACACACACACACAGAACACACACACAAACACAGAACACACACACACACAGAACACACACGCGCAGAACACACACACACAGAACACACACACAGAACACACACACACACAGAACACACACACACACACACAGAACACACACACACAGAACACACACACACAGAACACACACACAGAACACACACACACACAGAACACACACACAGAACACACACACACAGAACACACACACACACAGAACACACACACACAGAACACACACACACAGAACACACACACACACAGAACACACACAACACACACACACAGAACACACACGCGCAGAACACACACACACACACAGAACACACACACACAGAACACACACACACACAGAACACACACACGCAGAACACACACACACAGAACACACACACAGAACACACACACACACACAGAACACACACACACACACAGAACACACACACACAGAACACACACACACAGAACACACACACACACAGAACTCACACACACACAGAACACACACACACAGAACACACACACACACAGAACACACACACACAGAACACACACACACACACAGAACACACACACACAGAACACACACACACAGAACACACACACAGAACACACACACACACAGAACACACACACACAGAACACACACACACAGAACACACACACAGAACACACACACAGAACATACACACAAACAGAACACACACCCACACAGAACACACACACACAGAACACACACACACAGAACACACACACAGAACACACACACAGAACATACACACACACAGAACACACACCCACACAGAACACACACACACAGAACACACACACAGAACACACACACACACACACAGAACACACACACACAGAACACACACACACACAGAACACACACACACACAGAACACACACACACAGAACACACACACACACAGAACACACACACACACAGAACACACACACACAGAACACACACACACACAGAACACACACACACAGAACACACACACACAGAACACACACACACAGAACACACACACACAGAACACACACACACACAGAACACACACACACACAGAACACACACACACACAGAACATACACACACAGAACACACACACACAGAACACACACACACACACAGAACACACACACACACAGAACACACACACACACAGAACACACATACACACAGAACACACACACACACAGAACACACACACACAGAACACACACACAGAACACACAGTAACGCAACAAGTGTAAGAATGAACGAACGAACGAACTTAGGAACAAAGGAATGAACGAAGGAACGAGCGAGCGAAGGAGCGAGCGAGCGAGCGGCTCACCACAGGGACATGTGGCGCGCGACCACCTCGCCCGGCTCGAACACCTCCCCGGCGTGGCGGCACGGACAGGCCGCGGCGGCCACGCAGGCCCCGCCGCGGCCCTCCGAGGCGAAGGTGCCCTGGGGGCAGAAGCAGCCCTCGAGGCACTCGTCGGGCTGGCACAGCGGGTCGCCCGCGGACAGCGAGAGGCACGTGCGGTTGCAGGGAGAGGCGCAGCGAGAGTACTCGCGACCCTCTGGGCAGCGAGGCGCTGGAACCCGCACGTGGAGGGAGGGAGAGAGAGAGAGGTGCGGGTGAAGGTCGCGGTGGTGGTGGTGAAGAAGGTGGTGGTGGTGGTGAAGAAGGTGGTGGTGGTGAAGAAGGTGGTGGTGGTGAAGAAGGTGGTGGTGGTGGTGAAGAAGGTGGTGGTGGTGGTGAAGAAGGTGGTGGTGCTAGCCATTGAACGGGAATTGAACTCGGGTCGCTGGGTTTGTTGCGCGGCACGCCGCCCTCTCCCCACCACCGCTTCCCAACAACCACTGCCAAACCAACCACCGCCAAATCAACCACCACACCAACCACCGCCAAATCAATCACCGCCACACCAACCACCGCCACACCACCCACTGCCACACCAACCACCGCCACACCCACCACCACACCACCACCACACCAACCACCACACCACCACCACACCAACCACCACACCACACCAACCGCCACACCAAGAGTCGTCACTCACGGCACAGCCGCTCGCTGCGCCAGGCCACGGTGGCCCCCTGGGAGTCGCAGGCGCGCGCGTACGCGGCGATGGCGTCGCAGAGGCAGGCGCCGCCGGGCGGGCACGAGCAGGCGTCGCGCGTGCACGCGCGCACGTACGCGGCCGGCGGCACGCGCGCGTGGCACGGGGCGAACACGGAGGACAGCAGCAGCGAGCACGACTCGTCGGCGTCGCGGGCTGTGATATACAGAGGCACACGCGCACAGACAGGGCCATCAACACACACGCAGAGACACACGCAGAGACACACGCGCACAGACAGGTCCATCAACACACACAGACAGGGCCATCAACACACGCAGAGACACACGCGCACAGACAGGGCCATCAACACACACGCAGAGACACACGCGCACAGACAGGGCCATCAACACACACGCAGAGACACGCGCACAGACAGGTCCATCAACACACACAGACAGGGCCATCAACACACGCAGAGACACACGCGCACAGACAGGGCCATCAACACACACGCAGAGACACACGCGCGGCCATCAACAAACGCAGAGACACACACGCACAGACAGGGCCATCAACACACACGCACAGACAGGGCCATCAACAAACGCAGAGAGACACACACAGACAGGGCCATCAACACACACAGACAGGGCCATTAACACACACAGACAGGGCCATTAACACACGCAGAGACACACAGACAGGGCCATCGATGCAGACAGACAGGGCATTCGATCAGCCTCCCACATCAACAAAGATGTTCTAAATCATACCAAACATTAAACTAATTTTCAATGGTACAGTATATTTATCCAAGTAGTGATATACCAAACTTTCACAGCAGCTTATTTCCCTTCAAAACAACGTTTGTAAACCCCCTCCCCGTGCCGGTCCATTACGTTGGTGTACGGTCATTCCCTCAGACACCATCATTTGTACATTTGTAATCTCCCCTCTCCTCCCCGTGTTGTTACTCTATGAGCATTTTATGCTAATTCCTTTGTCAAAGCGTTTGTTTCCTCCCACACAGCTTAAAGGACGCGACCTGGGCTTGACTCTCTTCATTCCAACGCTGTCCTCGTGACAGCACGGTCCCCTTCACCTGATGAAGGCCGCTTGTGTTGTGGCCGAAACGTCGTGATTTTTGTTGTTTTATTTTTTTAACCTACGTGACTTTACCGAATAGAACCAAAGAGTATACTATCTACGTGACTTTACCGAAAAAACTAAGAATATGAATTACTGCAGTCACGAAAGCTTTAAATCAAAATGTATAGTAGTTGTTTTGCCCCACGGCAGATATGGGGGTGTGTTTACACAGGAACTTCCTGATAGGATGGTGTTGAGTTTGGTCACGTGACCAGGAAGTGACGCGCTCAGGGTCTCTAAGTCACGAGGCCAGGCGGGGGTGTCAGCCATTGCACAGATTACAAAATGGAGGCGCAATTAGCGTCTCAGTGAAGACGGGTGCATCCGTTCATTGTGGGACTTTAAGAAGCATTGTCTGTAAGTACGCTTATGTTCTTAAAATCCTGGGAATGCCGTTATAATGTTGGGATTGCCGTTATAATGCTGTAAATGCCTTTATAATGCTGGTAAATTGTTACGATGAATATGGGGCCTAGTTAACAACGAAGCCTGCCACTTGCATTATTGTGAAAGTTATTTGTAGTTGGATAAGTCGAGCCAGATGTGTGCCCATCTAACTTTAATGGGATCTTGAGAGCAAGGATGAAGAAGTATCTCATCCACAGTTCAGTGTTATATGCTGCACTGTACATTTAGGCTGCAGTAGGGTGATTACACAAAGTGACCTTATTAAACACAGGAGCTTATTCTCTTATTATATAGCTATTCAGTGCTAATGTAGGCGCCTGGCCCATCCAGGACCTATTGTTGAGATTCATGTTATCGAAGACAATGTGATGATGCTGCAGTGTTCATTCATTGTATTGATATTGCAAGTATTAATGGATGCTATATTTTGTGTTTTTTCCATCAGTTTTATGTCATTTCATTCATTCAATACGTTGGAGTCAGATGTTCACCCTGGCTCTGAAGGTTCATTGAATGCGAGGATAACTACTCGGATAGTGGTACAACGCAGCGCACAGCAAGGCCGAGACAGTAGGAGTGTATAGTAGTAGTGTATAGTAGTAGTGTATAGTAGTAGTAGCAGTACCCCGCTTGGCGTTGAGGGTGCAGGGATCTGCTGCTGCCCCCGCTGGGGTCTCTGAGGCGGCGGTGCCAGGGGAGGCCTCGCAGGCCGCGCCGAGGCGCCAGGAGTCGGCAAAGTCGCTGGGCCGCACCTCCACGAGGCCCGCTGGGCTGCGGAAGTCGTCGCCGGCGTTGCCGTCAAAGTTTCCGCAGAGGCCGCACACGCGGCCCGCGAACTGCGCGCTCAGCTGGGGCGGCCACGGTGGTGGCGGGGTGAGAGGGGTGGTGAGAGTGAGAGGGGTGGTGAGAGGGGTGGTGAGGGTGAGAGGGGTGGTGGGGGTGAGAGGGGTGGTGAGGGTGAGAGGGGTGGTGAGAGTGAGAGGGGTGGTGAGAGGGGTGGTGAGGGTGAGAGGGGTGGTGAGGGTGAGAGGGGTGGTGAGGGTGAGAGGGGTGGTGAAGGTGAGAGGGGTGGTGAGGGTGAGAGGGGTGGTGAAGGTGAGAGGGGTGGTGAGGGTGAGAGGGGTGGTGAGGGTGAGAGGGGTGGTGAGGGTGAGAGGGGTGGTGAGGGTGAGAGGGGTGGTGAGGGTGAGAGGGGTGGTGAGGGTGAGAGAGGTGGCGGGGTGAGAGGGGTGGTGAGGGTGAGAGGGGTGGTGAGGGTGAGAGGGGTGGTGAGGGTGAGAGAGGTGGTGAGGGTGAGAGGGGTGGTGAGGGTGAGAGGGGTGGTGGGGGTTAGACGGGAGGTGAGGGTGAGAGGGGTGGTGAGGGTGAGAGGGGTGGTGAGGGTGACGGTGGTGGGCAGGGACACGGTGGTGGGGGTTAGAAGGGTTGGTGAGAAATCTGGTAGTGGTGGGGGTCACGGTGGTGGTAGGGGTTAGAGTGGTGGTGGTGGTGGAGAGGGTCAGGGTGGTGGTGAGGGTTAGAGTGGTGGTGAGGGTGGTGGTGGTGAATTTTGCAGTAATTGTGGTGGTGAGCTAATGGTGAGGGTGGTGAAGATGGTGATGGTGAGGGTGGTAAAGGTGGTGAGGGTGGTGATCATAACTACTCGGGTATCTTTGCGCTTTGCCCGCGGTGGCTAGGAGATGTTAACTCCCTCGCCTGCTATGCAGGAGGTCATTGGTTTGATCCCGACCCTGACGCCTGCTCTATATTTGGAATTTGCATCTCTCTATCCGGTTTTTCCCTCCACGTTAAGAATCAACATCGCACATTCAGATTATTTGGCTGCTGCTATACATTTCCACGTGATGATAAGCCACTTGGTTGAGCTATCATTTGTGGCCAGGTCGCTTCCATAAAAGAGCTACATAGCTCAGTGGGCCTTACTTGGTAAAATAAAAAATAGTTTATAGTTTAGATGATCAGTCGACCGTGAAGATACATTTTTTAATATATAAAGCAGCGACAAAATCGTGACGCGCCCATTGTGAAGCCACCGGCACCCTCCCGGCCTAACCAAATCTGGTACATTTTGGCAGCTTTAATCTCCGTGCGATCCACCAACCACATCCACCCCGGGGTCTAGCGTGCGGGCACCCCACCTTGAGCCTCACGGAACCGTGTCCATCCCAGTCGAGGCGAAACGTGTCGCCGTAGGCCAGCCTCACGCCCGTGGGGAACGAGTTGAACACCGTGACCCGACCTGGAGGACAGAGACAACGGTCCCCTGTGATGCCTCTTGTTTTACTAATCAGAATTTGCATTTATACTGGAGGAATACGATGAGCTATGAAGCTCTTTTTTTACAGATGTCCAGTCGGGGTGGGTAAGAAGGTTACATCAACAAACAATACAAAAACACGATAAGAGTGCAAAGTATAAGAAAGGTAAACAAATCACCCAAACACAAACAAATAAAACACTAAACCATCCACCATCTGACCTGACAAAGGCCACTGAGGTATTAACTTTTTTTCAAAAGCGACCTGGCCACAAATGATAGCTCAGCAAAGTGGGATTATCATTTAGACATTTAGAGCAGCAACATCATCTAAATACTCTAAACGCGTAACGACGTTTCTAAATGTGGAGGGGAAAACTGAAGAACCCGGAGAAAAAAATCCACGTGACCACGCAGAGAGAGAGACGCAAACTCCAAATATACAGCAGGCATCCGGGTTGGGATCGAACCCACGACCTCGTGCATACCAGGCGAGGTAGTCAACATCTCCTAGCCACCGTGGTGATGATGATGAGAGAGAGAGACACGCAGACTCCAAATATACAGCAGACGTCAGGGTCGGGATCGAACTCACGACCTCGTGCATACCAGGCGAGGTAGTCAACATCTAGCCACTGCGGTGATGATGAGAGAGAGAGACACGCAGACTCCAAATATACAGCAGACGTCAGGGTCGGGATCGAACCCACGACCTCGTGCATACCAGGCGAGGTAGTCAACATCTAGCCACCGCGGTGATGATGATGAGAGAGAGAGACACGCAGACTCCAAATATACAGCAGACGTCAGGGTCGGGATCAAACCCACGACCTCGTGCATACCAAGCGAGGTAGTCAACATCTCCTAGCCACCGTGGTGATGATGATGAGAGAGAGAGACACGCAGACTCCAAATATACAGCAGACGTCAGGGTCGGGATCGAACTCACGACCTCGTGCATACTAGGCGAGATAGTCAACATCTCCTAGCCACCTGCTGTGTCCGGCAGCAGCAGCAGAACTCATCCTGACGAGGTGTCCTTGAGACTTTGCGTAATTATCATACGATATTTTTTTTAAAGTTTTGCTGGCTGGCTGGCTGGGATGGACGAGCGGTCACACCCAAAGGACGCGCGTCGCTGGTCGTTATTATATAACAGGCAACGTTTCGGGAAATGGAACTCATCCATAGCATATACGTGGGGAGGCGATAGAGAAAGAGGAGGTGGTAGTGTGCGCATGAGAAAAACAATTAGGTAAAAAACAATATCTTTCAATGCACACACTTTTATTTGCACACTCAAAACTAGAAAATTAATTTGTTTGATCCCAGAATTAATCAAATATCGATGTCCTCAATAAAAGTGGGTGGCCTGCATAAAGCAAATGAAACATATCAAAAGGAAGCCACACACTTTTATTCAGCACATGAAATCTGATTAATTCCAGGGTCAAAATAATGAACGTTCTACTTTTGAGTGCAGACAAATGTTCGTGCATTAATGAATCTTGTTTGTTTATTACCTAATAATAGTTTATATTCTTCACTCTTTCGGTAAAGTCACGTTGAAGGGAAACAGTAAAATAATGAAATATATAATAAATTATATATTTTATTATTAGTAGATATTTTATTATTTTATTGTTTCCCTTCAACGTGACTTTACCGAAAGAGCTAAGAATATGAATTACTGCAGTCACGAAAGCTTTGAATCAAAATTTAATAATAGTTTGTGTACACTTGTTTGGTCTCAAGCAGCCACAGCGGCCGCTCCGGCGCCATAACGAGCAGGCGGCCTCTCATTGGTCAGAGGCAGCCCAGCAACAACAGCGGGCGATGTGATTGGACCGGGCGATTGCCGTCGTAGTGTGTGGGCGTGACCATTCGTGATTTTAAAAAGGGAGGCCAAGGGGGGGGGCATCATTAATTGTTGCAAATTTAGTTAAAACACGATTTTTTTATTATTACAAATTTAGTTAAGATACAATTATTAATTATGACTAATTTAGTTAAGATACGATTATTAATTATCACACATTTAGTTAAAACACAATGATTAATTATCACACATTTAGTTAAAACACAATGATTAATTATCACACATTTAGTTAAGACACGATTATTAATTAGTAAAATTTAGTTAAGACATGATTATTAATTATCACACATTTAGTTAAAAACACAAAGGATCACGATGGACGGGAACTTTGACTGAGTTTTTTGTATAAAATATTGAATTGTCACGCAAATAGCGACTCTGTGTAGACAATGTCAGCGTCGAAGATTCCAAACGGATAAAAAAAATAGTGTGTAGCAATAATAGTGTAGTAATAGTGTAGTAATAATAATAGTGTATAATAATAGTGTAGTAATAATAGTGTATAATAATACTGTAGTAATAATAATAGTGCAGTAATAATAGTGTATAATAATCGTGTAGTAATAATAGTGTAGTAGTAATAAAGGTGTAATAATAATAAAAGTGTAGTAATAATAAGTGTAGTAATAATAAGTGTAGTAATAATAGTGTATTCTTAGTTTTTTCGGTAAAGTCACGTTGAAGGGAAACAACAAAATAATAAAATATATATAAAACAATACAAAATTCTCACGACGTTTTGACCATAACTCAAACGGTCGTCTTCAGGTGTGTTGGTTTGCAAAAATTTATTTTAAACGGCGCATTTATTTATTTATAAAAACGTTAGCGCCACGCGCAACGATTTGGCAGTTTATTTAGGACTAGTCCATCTATATTCTGAAAAGAGGAGGGGGGAGACGAAATGTTTTATAATGTATGCTGTCTGAAAGCCACTGTAAGCGTGAACAATCAATTAAGACCTGAAATGGTTTATCAAATCTTTCCAATGATTGCTAAGATACAATCCATCTTCTCGGTTGAAATTGTCTCTGTGCTTGTATATGTGGATAGCCTCATGAACGAATCTCTCATGGAAGCCAGATGGCTTACAAAGAACCTCTGTCTTGGAAAAGTCAATGGCATGTGAGCCTACTGAATTAGAACAATGATCTGCCACGGCCGAGGTGTTGGTCCTACCGTGTTTAAGGTCTGCTTTGTGTTCACGAATGCGGTCCGAGACATGGCGTTTGGTTTCTCCAATGTAACTACTACCACAGAGGCAACTTAGTTTGTAGACACCAGGGTATTGTATGTCCGGAATCACATCTTTTACAGACGGAACCAGATCACGGATTTTATGTAATGTTTTTATAAATAAATAAATGCGCCGTTTAAAATAAATTTATGCAAACCAACACACCTGAAGACGACCGTTTGAGTTATGGTCGAAACGTCGTGAGAATTTTTTATTGTTTTATATATATTTTATTATTTTGTTGTTTCCCTTCAACGTGACTTTACCGAAAAAACTAAGAATATGAATTACTGCAGTCACGAAAGCTTTAAATCAAAATAATAGTGTAGTAGTAATAATAGTGTAGTAGTAATAAGAGTGTAGTAATAATAATAGTGTAGTAATAATAATAGTGTAGTAATAATAGTGTAGTAATGAGAGTGTAGTAGTAATAATAGTGTATAATAATAGTGTATAATAATAGTGTAGTAATAATAATAGTGTAGTAATAATAATGTATAATAGTGTAGTAGTAATAATAGTGTAGTAGTAATAAAAGTGTAGTAATAATAGTGTAGTAATAATAGTGTATAATAATCGTGTAGTAATAATAATAGTGTAGTAGTAATAATAGTGTAGTAGTAATAAAAGTGTAGTAATAATAGTGTAGTAATAATAATAGTGTAGTAATAATAGTGTATAATAATAGTGTAGTAATAATAAAAGTGTAGTAATAATAGTGTAGTAATAATAGTGTATAATAATCGTGTAGTAATAAGAATAATAGTGTGTAATAATAATACATGGACCAGATTGTCAAAGTCATTGTCAAAGCTGTCAATGTTTAGGCCGTATTCTTGGACAGTGTTAAGGTCCGTACGGCGTAAAGCCGTTTCAATACGGGGCAATGTGTCCATTTGTCCGTGTTTCTCGCGTGTGATGGGACTTTGTGGGATGAACGTTGAGATTTACCAGGGGCACGGGGTGACCGACAATGTCTGACTTGGTTGACAGCTCAGCATTGTACTCCTGATGCCTAGGAGTGTCTCTGAGGCTGCGGTTCCACAGCTGATGCCCCCCCCCCCCCACGTGGTCCCCCTGTGCCCCCCCCCTCACCGTGGCGGTAGGGCAGGCGAATGTCCACGTCGCCCAGGGACACGAGACCGCCGTGGGAGAGACGCAGCGTGGCGTTATCCAAGTCGGGGAGGGACACACTCAGCGCCTCCATACACACGGCGGACGGGTCGTCCCCGCACTACACACCGTCAGCAGCAGAATCAATAGTGTCAGGAGAATCAGTAGTGTCAGCAGAATCAGTAGAATCAGCAGAATTAGTAGTGTCAGCAGAATCAGTAGAATCAGCAGAATCAGTAGTGTCAGCAGAATCAGTAGAATCAGCAGAATTAGTAGTGTCAGCAGAATTAGTAGTGTCAGCAGAATCAGTAGAATCAGCAGAATCAGTAGTGTCAGTAGAATCAGCAGAATTAGTAGAATCAGCAGAATCAGTAGAATCAGTAGTGTCAGCAGAATTAGTAGTGTCAGTAGAATCAGCAGAATTAGTAGTGTCAGCAGAATCGGTAGAATCAGCAGAATCAGTAGTGTCAGCAGAATCAGTAGAATCAGCAGAATTAGTAGTGTCAGCAGAATTAGTAGTGTCAGCAGAATCAGTAGAATCAGCAGAATCAGTAGTGTCAGCAGAATTAGTAGAATCAGCAGAATCAGTAGTGTCAGCAGAATTAGTAGTGTCAGTAGAATCAGCAGAATCAGTAGAATCAGTAGTGTCAGCAGAATTAGTAGTGTCAGCAGAATCAGTAGAATCAGCAGAATCAGTAGTGTCAGCAGAATCAGTAGAATCAGCAGAATCAGTAGTTTCAGCATAATCAGTAGTGTCAGCAGAATTAGTAGAATCAGCAGAATTAGTAGTGTCAGTAGAATCAGTAGTTTCAGCAGAATCAGTAAAATCAGCAGAATCAGTAGTATCAGCATAATCAGTAGTGTCAGCAGAATCAGTAGAATTATTGGAATCAGCAGAATCAGTAGAATCAGCAGAATCAGTTTCAGCAGAATCAGTAAAATCAGCAGAATCAGTAGTATCAGCATAATCAGTAGTGTCAGCAGAATCAGTAGTGTCAGCAGAATCAGTAGAATTAGTAGTGTCAGCAGAATCAGTAGAATCAGTAGTGTCAGCAGAATCAGTAGAATCCGCAAAATTAGTAGTATCAGTAGAATCAGCAGTACAATCAGTAGAATCGGCAGCAGAATTAGTAGAATCAGCAGCAGAATCACAATCATAACGAGTAGAATGAGCAGCAGAATCAGTAGAACTGTCATCAGCAGCAGAATCAGTAGAACTGTCATCAGCAGCAGAATCAGTAGAATCATCAGCGGCAGTATAATATTCTGGTTTCTTTCGGTAAAGTCATGTAGAATGGAGATATAATAATAACAATAAAATTCTCACGACGTTTCGGCCACAACACAAGTAGCCTTCCTCAGGTGAAGAAACAGGACTGTCCGGAAGACAGCGCTTGTGGCCGAAACGTCGTTGGAAATTTAATTCTGTTATTATTTTTATTATTTTATCTCCATTCTACGTGACTTTACCGAAAGAACCCAGAAGATGAATCCCTGCAGTCACGAAAGCTTTAAATCTAAGCAGTAGAACAGAATCATTGAATCAGCAGCTGAATCAGTTGAAGCGTCATCAACAGCATAATCAGTAGAATCGGTAGAATCAGCATCAGCAGTAGAATCATCACCAGTCTCATTTTCCTATCATAAAAATAATATCTGTAAAATTCATCATCACTATCCTCTTCACGACTGACCCGCATGCTCCAGCTGTCTGTGTGTGTGTCTGTGCCCGTGTGTCTGTGTGTGTGCATGTCTGTGTGTCTGTGTGCCGTGTGTGTGTGTCTGTGTGTGTGTGTCTGTGTGTACGTCTGTGTGTGTATATGTCTATGTGTGTATATGTCTATGTGTGTGCGTGTGTCTGTGTGTGTGTGTCTGTGTGTGTGCCCGTGTGTGTGCGTGTCTCTGTGTGCGTGTGTCTGTGTATGTATGTGTGTGTGTATTTTTATGTGTGTGTGCCCGTGTGTGTGCGTGTGTCTGGACGGGTTCCGCAGGATTGGAAGGATGCCCTGGTGGTCCCCCTTTTTAAGAAGGGGGACCGCACAGACTGTAACAACTACAGGGGCATCTCACTCCTCAGTGTGCCGGGAAAGGTCCTGGCAAGGATTATTCAGCATCGCCTTGCCAGGCACGCTGAGGAGAGGCTTGCGGAGCCCCAATGCGGTTTCAGGAAAGGGCGGTCCTGCACAGATGCCATATTTTCTGTCCGTCTGCTACAGCAGAGGTGTAGGGAATTCCAACAAGACCTACATCTCTGCTTTATTGACCTGGTCAAGGCCTATGATACCATCAGTAGGGCTGGGCTCTGGGTCGTTCTTCGTGCTTTTGGAGTACCTGACCCTCTGCTCACGATCATTAAGGACCTTCATGATGGTGAGCGGGCCCCGGGTAAAACTACGTGGCCAGGAGTCAGAGCCATTCCCTGTACACCTTGGGGTGCGACAGGGATGTCCTCTGGCTCCCACATTATTTAACATCTATTTTGACCACGTAGTTCGTGAAGCCTTCAATAGCTGTACCGGGGGAATCTCCATATGGTACAGATATAATGGGAGGCTAATCGATGCCCGGGTGCGGTCAAGGGATGGCTCCCTATTGCTCAACCACGTTATGTATGCTGATGATTTGGTAATAGCTGCTCAGTCAGAGGAGGAGTTGGAGACGCTGCTGCTGAGACTGGAGCGTGGCACTAAGAGGTGGGGCCTTACCATCAGCCCCACCAAAACTAAGCACCTGCCTGGGTATTTTGTACCATCGGACACTCCACCCCCACAACTCCCAATCGGTGATGGGGCAGTTGTGGAGAGAGTGGAGAGTTTCCCATACCTGGGCAGTGTGCTTATGACTGGCTCCAGTTTAACGGCAGAGGTCTCACTCCGAATCAGTCGAGCGGCAATATCTTTTCATCGGTTGCGTAACGCTGTGTGGAAGCTACCTGGTCTGTCGCTCCGCGCTAAGCTTCAGGTCTTCTCGGCCACGGTCATTCCCTCCCTTCTCTACGCTTGCGAAACGTGGACCCCCCTAATGGAACATCTTCGCCGGTTAGAAACATTTAGGCTGGCCTGCCTACGATCCATCCTGGGTTTAACCTGACTGGATTGTGTGAGGAGCTCACAAATCCTTGAAAGATCTGGGCAGGGTCCCATCGGTGAGCTCCTCCGGCAGGCAAGGCTGCGATGGCTGGGTCATGTAGCCCGCATGCCCAGCCACCGCATGCCGAAACAGCTTTTGTTTGGCCGGATTGAGGGGGCTAAGCGGGCGCGGCACGGGCTAGAGAAGAGATGGAGTGATGTGGTACGGGAGGACGTGGAGCTGAGTGGACTTGCCGATGACTGGTACCAGCGGTGTCAAGATCGACCTCTGTGGAGGATGCTCGTGAAGGATGCTACTGGGCAGTTGGAGGCAGTCGCCCTCCAACAACAACGGAGGGCGGAGGAGCGACGCTCAGAACAACGAGCGGAGCGCCGGGTGGCTAAAGCACAGCAGGTTGGCACAGTAGGGGGCACAGGTGGTGCATCAGCCAGTCATCTCAGTCAGTCGACCCGTGGCACCTGGGTCTGCCCAGTGACCTCCTGCCAGCGGGCGTTCGACACTTCACGTGGCCTCACGGTGCACATAGCCTGGCACAAGCGTCGTGGTGACGTCACCGCCACTTAGTGGTGAATGGCGGTTGTTGTTGTTGCGTGTGTCTGTGTGTGTGTATTTGGGAGAGAGCGGCATTCTAGCGGTTAGCGCTACGCTGCGCTAGGAACCAGACCGCCCGTGTTCGATTCCCGCTCACGGCCAACACCGGTGAAGATTATCTGAACCTGTCCTGGGCCTCCCCTAGGTCGACGCAGCCTCAAATTAGTACCTGGTGCGGTGTGTAAACATCGCCACTGGGGAGACAAAGGCGGCAGGGCGTGGTATTGGCCACCCACCTTCTCGTGTACCGGGAGAGCTTTGTCTTATGTGTGTGTCTGTGTGTGCGTGTCTGTGTGTGAGTGTCTGTGTGTGTCTGTGTGTGCGTGTCTGTGTGTGTGTCTGTGTGTGCGTGTGTGTGTCTGTGTGTCTGTGTGTGCATGTCTGTGTGTGTGTGTGTCTGTGTGTGCGTGTCTGTGTGTGAGTGTCTGTGCGCGTCTGACCCGCACGCTCTCGCTGGAGATGGAGAACGCGCGCTGCTGCTGCTGCTGCTCTGTGCAGTCTCTGGCCAGCACGTGCTCGCACGCCGAGCGGGACGAGAAGAAGCGGCCGTCGAACGATCTGAAGTGCGCGTGGCCCGTCACCAGACACTCGCCTGCGCACGACGGAGACGTGGTGAGGAGGAGGAGGAGGAAGAGGAGGAGGAGGAGAGCGAGCGTGTGCCGTGCCGGCCTTCGTAAGTGTTATTCGCTAACAGCACCTGCCCCAACAGTCTGTTAAGGCTCTATGGGGGAGCTTTGTGTGTGCGTGTCTACCTTCACACGTGAGGTTCGTGCAAATCCATGTGCCGCCCTTGCAGATGCTGTGATAGAACAAAATCACCATAATCATTACCATGAACATTGCCATCATTACTGTTAACACCCATCACCATAACCATCGCCATCAGCGTCTTCACCATCTCGCCATCAACATCACGAACATGGTGACCTTCCACTCACCGGCTATCTGCGGAGTCCAACTGGAATCAAAGATGTCTAAATCTGGGCCGGGGCCAAGCAGGGCCAGGGGCGGGGCTAATGACTAGTCCACCGGTTGGACGCCATGGTGGCTTAGTGATGTTAACTACCTTGCCTGGTACGCAGCAGGTTTTGATACCACGGTGGCTAGGCGATGTTAACTACCTCTCCTGGTATATAGGAGGTGGTCGGTTCGATCCCGACCCTGACGACGCCTGCTGCTGTATATTTGGCATTTGCGTCTCTCTCCCTCTACCCGTGGTCGTGTGGATACTCAACCGGGTCCTCCGCTTTGTCCTTCCTTCCCCCCGCACCTCCGATTAGCATGGCCAGCTACGTACGGTGCGGAAGAAGTTCAACATCCACGGAATCAACACGCGTTGAGAGTATGTGGATCCGCTACACATTTTTCCATGTGGTGATGATGATGATGTCAGCCACTTTGTTGAGCCATTATTTGTGACGAACGGGTCGCTTCTGAAATCGGGCCCTAGTCCAACAGCTCAGTAGGGGCATTACCTGGTTTAAAAATAACGACGTAGTTTGAGTCTAGAAGAGGCGAGGGGGTACCCCCCCCCCCACCTCCCCAGCTCACCAGGAGTTGCAGCCCTGCTCGATCAAGAACTCCGGGGGAAAGCGTCGCCCGTTGTGGAAGCAGAAGCACTCCGACTCACGGACGCAGCGGCCGCCGTCCAGCAACAGGCCAGCTGTGGAGAGGGTCAGGGTCACGGTCGGGGTCGAGGTCGGGGTCAGGCACAGAGGCAGTGTTAGGGACAGGGAGAGGGTTGTGAATGGAGCAATGGTTGGGGTCAGGGTCAGGTTTAAGGTTAGGGTCATTTTGAAGGTTAGGGTCAGGTCTAGGGTTAGGGTCAGGTCTAGGGTGAGGGTCAGGGTCAGGTCTAGGGTCAAGGCCAGGTCTAGGGTGAGGGTCAGGGTCAGGTCTAGGGTTAGGGTCAGGTCTAGGGTGAGGTTCATGGTCAGGTCTAGGGTCAAGGCCAGGTCTAGGGTGAGGGTCAGGGTCAGGTCTAGGGTTAGGGTCAGGTCTAGGGTGAGGGTCAGGTCTAAGGTGAGGGTCAGGGTCAGGTCTAGGGTCAAGGCCAGGTCTAGGGTGAGGGTCAGGTCTAGGGTTAGGGTCAGGTCTAGGGTGAGGTTCATGGTCAGGTCTAGGGTCAAGGCCAGGTCTAGGGTGAGGGTCAGGTCTAAGGTTAGGGTCAGGTCTAGGGTGAGGGTCAGGTCTAGGGTGAGGGTCAGGGTCAGGTCTAGGGTCAAGGCCAGGTCTAGGGTGAGGGTCAGGTCTAGGGTGAGGGTCAGGTCTAGGGTCAGGTCTAGGGTCAAGGCCAGGTCTAGGGTGAGGGTCAAGGTCAGGTCTAGGGTGAGGGTCAGGGTCGGGTCTAGAGTTAGGGTCAGGTCTAGGGTCAAGGCCAGGTCTAGGGTGAGGGTCAAGGTCAGGTCTAGGGTGAGGGTCAGGGTCGGGTCTAGGGTTAGGGTCAGGTCTAGGGTCAAGGCCAGGTCTAGGGTGAGGTTTCAAGGCTCGTGGTTGGAGTTAGCGTTTGGGCCAGGTTCAGGTCGTAGTTAACATTGGGATCGTGGTTAGGGTTAACATTGAGGCCAGGCTATTGTTGGAGTCCGGGCACGTGTTGGGGGACAGCCTCACCTGGGCACGTGCACCCATCCTGGCACGGCCCCTCGTCGCACGCCGCGTCCAACGCGTGCACGCTCTGACAGGAGCGGGGGCATGGGGGGGCGCACGCCCGGTACTCCATCCCGGGCGGGCACGCGGGGGCTGCCGGGACGAAGACAAAGACCCCCGTAAAGCCTCAGCAGACTGGCCAGCCCCATCCCCTTCGTTTCACTCACGGCAAACCCAACCCACCGCACCCCCACACAAAAAATAAAACGCGGATCAAACCGATCGCTCGCGTTGCCCCCCTCCCCCGCTACTCGTCCCTGGTGGCGGCTGTGGCAGCGGTGGCAACAGCGGTGGCGGTAGTGGTGGTGGCAGTGGTGGTGGCAGTGGTGACGGTGCTAGTGGTGGTGGTGGTGACGGCGGTGGCGGCGGTGGCAGCGGTGGTGGCAGCAGTGGCGGCGGTAGCAGCGGCGGTCGCTCACCGCAGCCGGCGTCCACCACCCAGCGCCCCACCGGCACCCCACGGTGCCCGCACGCCCGAGCGTACTCCAGCAGCGCCGCGCACCCGCAGCGGGCCCCGTCGGCGGGGGGCGCCCCCTCCCCCTCCCCGCCGTGGCGGCGGCGGCCGGGAGGGGGGGGAGCGGAGCCCCCCGGCGAGGGGCCGCACTCGCACGCGTCGCGCTCGCACGCCGTGGCAAACGGCTCCGGGTCGAGCCACGGAGCGCAGAGCGCCGGAGCCGCCGGCGGGCGCAGCCGCGAGCAGAGGGAGGTCACCGTCTGTCGGGGGGGGCGGGAGGGGGGGGGGGTGCGGGGTGGGTGGCGAGCGACAGGGTCAACTGGAGACGTGGGTCAGGGTTCAGGGTGTGGGTCACGGTTAGGGGTGTGGGTCAGGGTTCGGGGTGTGGGTTAGGGGTGTGGGTCAGGGTGAGGGGTGAGGGTGAGGGGTGTGGGTCAGGGTGAGGGGTCAGGGTTAGGGGTGTGGGTCAGGGTGAGGGGTGAGGGTTAGGGGTGTGGTATGTTGTTGTTGTTGTTTACCGTCGCGTCTGCGGCCGTGCACTCCCGGCTGGGTGGCAGTGCCCGCACGCAGCCTCCCTGCAGGGAGTCCCGCGCCCAGCTCTGGGCGAACTCGTACGGATCCTCAGAGACGAACCCTGCGGGGAGGGGGGCACAGGGAGGGGGGGCACCGGGAGGGGGGGGACACCAAGGAGTGAGGCACACTGAAGGTACAGACACAGTTGCTGTTGTCCTGATGTGTAAACAGACACGGATATACAAGTCACATGGACAATGTTAGTCTATATGGGCAATGTTAGTCTATATGGGCAATGTTAGTCTATAAAGGCAATCCATAATTCAGGTTTATTTTGGGTTAGATCGCATAAATATATGTTGTGTCGTGAAACCCGCCACCACCCGGCACAGCCAACTAGTCAGGGTTGTCACGTAAACAGAAGATACCAATCTTGATTTGAAGCTTTCGTGACTGCAGGAATCCATACTCTTTGGTTCTTTCGGTAAAGTTACCTAGGTAGAAATAAATAAAATCAAAACTAATCACGACGTTTCGATTGCAACATAAGCAATCATCATCAGGTGAGAAAACCACAGCAAGACTTTTTGCTTTTGTTTTCCCACCTGATGATGATTGCTTGTGTTGCAATTGAAACGTCATGATTAGTTTTAAGTTTAACACGTAGGCTTTCGCGACCAATATTCATAATAAAGGTTTTTGGGTTCGATCGCGTTATTTATAAATGTGTCGTAACCCTCCGCCACCCGACACGGCCAATCAGCAAAAAAGTGTCACGTTGACAAAAGACAAAATAGTTAACTACCGGTGTATTGAAGAGTGAATCCACAACATTTACAGTTTGAGTACGACATTTCGCTGGTAATTACATCCAGCATCATGGGGCAATTCGCCAGAATGGTAAAGCCCTCACTTGCTCCCGGTCTTAATTTTATTTTATTTCTAACTACGTGACGTTACCGAAATAACCAAAGAGTACAGAACGTGGCCAATTCGTCGCTAGTCCAGCACTAACCGGTTGCGTGTTGGAGCGCCAGGCCACAACATTTACGATCTTAGTGCCGTGACGTTTCGCCAGTAATTACAACCGGCTTCATCAGGCGACAGCCACATTTGTGGAGAAGTCCTCCACCTGTTTTGTCCCTTCAACACAGGCGTGGATGTGGTGACGCCCCTTCTTAGTGCGCTCTTCTTACTATAATGACTGGCTATCCATTGCCGTTGGGGTTATTTATACGGTAACCAACGTACACCGTGCAAGTGCATTATGGGAGGCCATTTTTCTTGTACTTCCTGTCGATTGTGTGCACTAAAATAGCCGTACCAACGGTAATCCCTATTGAAGTGTGGTGACCTGTATAGGCATGCATTGAAACAATGTGTTATTTGATTATTCGCTTCCAAGCAGCACTAGGTCTGTAGCTATCTGATCGTTAAAATAACTTTATAGTTCTCTAAATTTTGATAGATTATCTCATTAGTTTTGTTCAGTAGTAGCTAGTTTTGCACAGAACTTCAACAGTATCAAAATCAATTGAGTGTCCTTGTGGGCACGCGTGTTCTGCCACTGCTGACAGTTGTGTTTGGGAGTATTTAATATTTATTGGTGTTATTTTAGTCTCGTGCTGATCATTCGTCCTGCTTGCCCACCATAGCATTTGCCACAAGTACAATCAATCCGCTACACACCTTCTGTTGATTATGGATGATATTGGTCGCGAAAGCCTACATGTTAAACTATAAAGGCAATGTTAGTCTTTGAGCAATGTTAGTCTGTATGGGCAATGTCAGTCTATGGGAAATGTTAGTCTATATGGGCAATGTTTTTTTTTCAATGTTTTTATTACAAAAAAATGCAGGGCCACGACATGCCCACGCCGAGAGACCCCATTAGCAGGATGCAAACAAATCCGCAGAGATCCTTTGGGGCGCGGCGGAACGACGCGGAAGGGGGCAAGGAAGTAGCTAGCGGGGGCGGGGGGAGGGCAACCCTGTGGGGACCTCGCGCCAGAGGAGAACATCAAAGGCTTTGGACAATGATAGGCTGTGAGCAGTGTGAGTACATGGTGCAGTGTTGAGTCTATGCGCAGTGGTGAGTCTATGGTGCAGTGTGAGTCTATGGTGCAGTGTTGAGTCTATGGTGCAGTGTTGAGTCTATGGGCAGTGTGAGTCTATGGTGCAGTGTGAGTCTGTGGTGCAGTGTTGAGTCTGGTGCAGTGTTGAGTCTATGGGCAGTGTTGAGTCTATGGGCAGTGTGAGTCTATGGGCAGTGTGAGTCTGTGGTGCAGTGTTGAGTCTATGGGCAGTGTTGAGTCTATGGGCAGTGTGAGTCTATGGGCAGTGTTGAGTCTATGCGCAGTGTGAGTCTATGGTGCAGTGTTGAGTCTATGGGCAGTGTGAGTCTATGGTGCAGTGTGAGTCTATGGGGCAGTGTTGAGTATGGCCAGTGTGAGTCTATGCGCAGTGTTGAGTCTATGGGCTGTGATGAGTCTATGGGCAGTGTTGAGTCTATTGGCAGTGTGAGTCTATGGGCAGTGTAAGTCTATGGGCAGTGTTGAGTCTATGGGCAGTCCTGAGTCTATGGGCAATGTTGAGTCTATGGGCAGTGTGAGTCTATGGGCAGTGTGAGTCTATGGGCAGTGTGAGTCTATGGGCAGTGTTGAGTCTATTGGCAGTGTGAGTCTATGGGCAGTGTTAGTCTATGGGCAGTGTGAGTCTATGGGCAGTGTTGAGTCTATGGGCAGTGTGAGTCTATGGGCAGTGTGAGTCTATGGGAGGTGTTGAGTCTATGGGCAGTGTTGAGTCTATGGGCAGTGTTGAGTCTATGGGCAGTGTAAGTCTATGGGCAGTGTGAGTCTATGGGCAGTGTGAGTCTATGGGCAGTGTTGAGTCTATGGGCAGTGTTGAGTCTATGATGCAGTGTTGAGTCTGTGGTGCAATGTTGAGTCTATGGGCAGTGTTAGTCTATGGGCAGTGTGAGTCTATTGACAGTGTGAGTCTATGGGCAGTGTTGAGTCTATGGGCAGTGTTGAGTCTATGGGCAGTGTGAGTCTATGGTGCAGTGTTGAGTCTGGTGCAGTGTTGAGTCTATGGGCAGTGTGAGTCTATGGGCAGTGTGAGTCTATGGGCAGTGTTGAGTCTATGGGCAGTGTTGAGTCTATGAGCAGTGTTGAGTCTATGGGCAGTGTGAGTCTATGGACAGTGTTGAGTCTACGGGCAGTGTTGAGTCTACGGGCAGTGTTGAGTCTATGGGCAGTGTTGAGTCTGGTGCAGTGTTGAGTCTATGGGCAGTGTGAGTCTATGGGCAGTGTGAGTCTATGGGCAGTGTTGAGTCTATGAGCAGTGTTGAGTCTATGGGCAGTGTGAGTCTATGGACAGTGTTGAGTCTACGGGCAGTGTTGAGTCTACGGGCAGTGTTGAGTCTATGGGCAGTGTGAGTCTATGGTGCAGTGTTGAGTCTATGGTGCAGTGTTGAGTCTATGGGCAGTGTGAGTCTATGGGCAGTGTTGAGTCTATGGGCAGTGTTGAGTCTATGGGCAGTGTGAGTCTACGGGCAGTGTTGAGTCTACGGGCAGTGTTGAGTCTACGGGCAGTGTTGAGTCTACGGGCAGTGTGAGTCTATGGGTAGTGTTGAGTCTATGGGCAGTGTTGAGTCTATGGGCAGTGTTGAGTCTATGGTCCAGTGTGAGTTTATGGTGCAGTGTTGAGTCTATGGGCAGTGTGAGTCTACGGGCAGTGTTGAGTCTATGGGCAGTGTTGAGTCTACGGGCAGTGTTGAGTCTACGGGCAGTGTTGAGTCTATGGGCAGTGTTGAGTCTATGGTCCAGTGTGAGTCTATGGGCAGTGTTGAGTCTATGGGGCAGTGTTGAGTCTACGGGCAGTGTTGAGTCTATGGGCAGTGTGAGTCTATGGGCAGGCTTTGACTTTAACATCTATTTCTCTGACCAGTCACAAGCTAATCCCTTAGCTATTTCAATGCTAAATTACTAGTTGCCTCTGTGGATGTGTAGGTTTTGACTTTAACATAGCCATTTCCGTTACCAGTCACAAGCTAATACCTCAGCTATTTGATATGTAAACCCCCTTTGTCAAGGTGCTTCACTTCTCCCAATCAGCTTAAAGTCGCTACGAATCTTAACAGCGTTCATTGAAGCTCTGTGGATGTGTAGGTTTTGACTTTAACATAGCCATTTCTGTGACCAGTCACAAGCTAATCCCTCAGCTATTTGCACAGGCTAATCCCTTAGCTATTTCAATGCTAAATTACTAGTTGCCTCTGTGGATGTGTAGGTTTTGACAGAGCTTCAATGAACGATGTTCATTGAAGCTCTGTCTTCCGACAGGTCTGTTCCTTTCACCTGAAGACGGCCGTTTGCGTTGTGGCCGAAACGTCATGAGAATTTTATCGTGTTATTTTATTCTCATTCTACGTGACTTTACCGAAAGAACCAAAGAAGATGAATCCTTGCAGTCACGAAAGCTTTAAATTGAAACAACGGTAATATTGTCATTATTTACACCGCTCGTCATCATCATCGTCGTTGTCATCATCGTCGTCATCATCGTCCGAGCGTTTATCGCAGCCGAGGGCTGCCGGGGCCGCCCTGCCGGGCCCGGCCCTCACCTACCTGCGTGTGGAGGTCATTGTAGGCCCGGCCCTCACCTACCTGCGTGTGGAGGTCATTGTAGGCCCGGCCCTCACCTTCCTGTGTGTGGAGGTCATCGTAGGCCCGGCCCTCACCTTCCTGTGTGTGGAGGTCATTGTAGGCCCGGCCCTCACCTTCCTGTGTGTGGAGGTCATTGTAGGCCCGGCCCTCACCTTCCTGCTTGTGGAGGTCATCGTAGGCCCGGCCCTCACCTTCCTGCTTGTGGAGGTCATCGTAGGCCCGGCCCTCACCTTCCTGCGTGTGGAGGTCATCGTAGGCCCGGCCCTCACCTTCCTGCGTGTGGAGGTCATCGTAGGCCCGGCCCTCACCTTCCTGCGTGTGGAGGTCATCGTAGGCCCGGCCCTCACCTTCCTGCGTGTGGAGGTCATCGTAGGCCCGGCCCTCACCTTCCTGTGTGTGGAGGTCATCGTAGGCCCGGCCCTCACCTTCCTGTGTGCGGAGGTCATCGTAGGCCCGGCCATTGCCGTCCCCGCACAGGCCGCAGGTGACATTGGCGAGGCGCGGCGCCAGGAGCAGCGACAGCGTCGTCCTCCCCGGGCCCCTTGCATCCTTCTCCTCCATCACCTCCTCTTCCTCCATCCCCTCGACGGACGTGACCACGGTGCCCGTCTCCAGGTGCGCGCTCATGCCCAGGGCGTCGCTGTGAAGCCACAGGCTGCGGCCTCGCCTCTCCACGAACACCCCCGAGGCGGCCACAGGCACGGGAGACCTGGGGAGTTGGCGGTCGTGGTGGTTGTGGATGGGTCAGGGGTCAGAGCGGAGAGGGGGAGGTCAGGACCACGGGCTCGCCGTGGTGGTTGTGGATGGGTCAGGGGTCAGGGGGGAGAGGGGGAGGTCAGGACCACGGGGCCACCGTGGCTATGGGAGTGTTCGTCGTCGTAACAGAGAAGACACTGCAGTCTGCGCTGATGAGGATGAAGCCGGACAAGAGCTGTGTCTTTGTTCCACTACTGCTGCCCGTTTGGATGGTGGACTATGCTGATGAGTCCCGATGAGAATGGAGTCAGACTCGAGCTGCGTGTCTCACTGCTGCTCGTTGGGGTGGGCACATTTGCTCAACTCTGGAGTCGGTGGTTCTGAACGACACCGCACGTTCAGTTCTTTTCATCTGGTGGTCTGGACAAGGCTGTGTGAGTGTGTGGGTGTGTGAGCGGTGGTGTAGCGGTTAGCGCTACGCTGCGCTACGAACCTGGTGACCCGGGTTCGATTCCCGCTCACGGCCAACACCGGTGACGATTATTTGAACCGGTCCTGGGCCTCCCCTAGGTCGACTCGGTCTCAAATGAGTACCTGGTGCGATGTGTAAACATCGCCACTGGGGAAGACAAAGGGGGCCGGGCGTGGTGCTGGCCACCCACCCCCTTCTGTACCGTTCCGGCCTTCAAAGGTGCTACTCGCTAATAGCACTTGCCCCTACAGTCTGTTACAGGCTACACGGGAGATCTTTGTTTTTTTGTAGATAGGTGTGTGGGTAAGTGAGCGAGCGAGTGAGCGAGTCGGTGGTTCCATAGGACAACACGACCACACCTTCAGTTCCTTTGAGCTGGTGGTTTGGACAAGGCTGAGAGATTTTGTACACGCAATGCGGCACACTCTGTGTGTGTGTGCGCGTGTGTGTGTGCGTCTTGTTCACTGCGTTCGTGCCAGTGAGGACCGACATCATAGGAACCTGCTACTGACGACCCGTATGCTGCTGATGATTGACAATGCTGATGCTTCTGATAATGATGATGCTGATGACGCTGATACTGCTGATGATGCTGTTGATGATGACTCACAATGCTGATGCTGTTAATGATGCTGCTGATGACACTGATGCTGTTGATGATGACTCACAATGCTGATGCTTCTGATAATGATGATGCTGATGACGCTGATACTGCTGATGACACTGATGCTGTTGATGATGACTCACAATGCTGATGCTGTTAATGATGCTGCTGATGACACTGATGCTGTTGATGATGACTCACAATGCTGATGCTATTAATGATGCTGCTCATGACACTGATGCTGTTGATGATGACTCACAATGCTGATGCTTTTAATGATGCTGCTGGTGACACTGATGCTGTTGATGATGACTCACAATGCTGATGCTGTTGATGATGACTCACAATGCTGATGCTGCTGATAATGATGCTGACACTTGATGATGACTCACAATGCTGATGCTGTTGATGACTCACAATGCTGATGCTGCTGATAACGATGCTGATGATGCTGACACTGTTGATGATGACTGACAATGCTGATGCTGTTGACGATGACGACTCTGACGATGCTGATGGATGCTAATGACGCTGCTGCTGATGATGTTAATGATGACATCTCACGCGTGTCCGTCCAGGATGCAGGTGCCGTTGGTGAAGAGTTGCAGCTCCAGGGCCTGGGCTGGAACGTAAAGCGACATTCCACGCACCTCTCCATCCTCGTAGTTTACTGTGGCGGGGGAGAGAGGCAGGAGAGAGGCGGTATTGTGGGCCGACTCCTCTTGCGGACGACGTCACGAGGATCTTTAACGTCCCCACCGCAGCGAAGCGGACGGTGCGCGGTCGCGTCACCGTGGGTTACCGTGGTTTACCACGTCACCGCGGGTTACCGTGGTTTACCACGTCACCGTGGGGTATCACGTCACCGTGGGTTACCGTGGTTTACCACGTCACCGCGGGTTACCGTGGTTTACCACGTCACCGTGGGGTATCACGTCACCGCAGGTTACCGTGGTTTACCACGTCACCGTGGGGTACCACGTCACCGCAGGTTACCGTGGTTTACCACGTCACCGTGGGGTATCACGTCACCGCAGGTTACCGTGGTTTACCACGTCACCGTGGGGTACCACGTCACCGCAGGTTACCACGTCACCGAGGGGTACCACGTCACCGCGGGTTACCGTGGTTTACCACGTCACCGTGGGGTATCACGTCACCGTGGGTTACCGTGGTTTACCACGTCACCGTGGGTTACCGTGGTTTACCACGTCACCGTGGGGTATCACGTCACCGCAGGTTACCACGTCACCGAGGGGTACCACGTCACCGCGGGTTACCGTGGTTTACCACGTCACCGTGGGGTACCACGTCACCGCGGGTTACCGTGGTTTACCACGTCACCGTGGGTTACCGTGGTTTACCACGTCACCGTGGGGTATCACGTCACCGCAGGTTACCACGTCACCGAGGGGTACCACGTCACCGTGGGTTACCGTGGTTTACCACGTCACCGTGGGGTACCACGTCACCGCAGGTTACCACGTCACCGAGGGGTACCACGTCACCGCGGGTTACCGTGGTTTACCACGTCACCGTGGGGTATCACGTCACCGCAGGTTACCACGTCACCGAGGGGTACCACGTCACCGCGGGTTACCGTGGTTTACCACGTCACCGTGGGGTATCACGTCACCGCAGGTTACCACGTCACCGAGGGGTACCACGTCACCGCGGGTTACCGTGGTTTACCACGTCACCGTGGGGTATCACGTCACCGCAGGTTACCACGTCACCGAGGGGTACCACGTCACCGCGGGTTACCGTGGTTTACCACGTCACCGTGGGGTACCACGTCACCGCAGGTTACCACGTCACCGAGGGGTACCACGTCACCGCGGGTTACCGTGGTTTACCACGTCACCGTGGGGTCTCACGTCACCGCAGGTTACCACGTCACCGAGGGGTACCACGTCACCGCGGGTTACCGTGGTTTACCACGTCACCGTGGGGTATCACGTCACCGCAGGTTACCACGTCACCGAGGGGTACCACGTCACCGCGGGTTACCGTGGTTTACCACGTCACCGTGGGGTATCACGTCACCGCAGGTTACCACGTCATCGAGGGGTACCACGTCACCGCGGGTTACCGTGGTTTACCGCGTCACCGAGGGGTACCGTGGTTTACCACGTCACCACAGGTCACCGTGGTTTACCGCGTCACCGCGGGTTACCGCGTCACCGAGGGGTACCGTGGTTTACCACGTCACTGAGGGGTACCGTGGTTTACCACGTCACCACAGGTCACCGTGGTTTACCGCGTCACCGTGGGTTACCGCGTCACCGAGGGGTACCGTGGTTTACCACGTCACCGTGGGGTACCGTGGTTTACCACGTCACCACAGGTCACCGTGGTTTACCACGTCACCACAAGTCACCGTGGTTTACCGCGTCACCGTGGGTTACCGCGTCACCGAGGGGTACCGTGGTTTACCACGTCACCGAGGGGTACCGTGGTTTACCGCGTCACTGAGGGGTACCGTGGTTTACCACGTCACCACAGGTCACCGTGGGTTACCGCGTCACCGAGGGGTACCGTGGTTTACCACGTCACCGTGGGGTACCGTGGTTTACCACGTCACCACAGGTCACCGTGGTTTACCGCGTCACCGTGGGTTACCGCGTCACCGAGGGGTACCGTGGTTTACCACGTCACCGAGGGGTACCGTGGTTTACCGCGTCACTGAGGGGTACCGTGGTTTACCGCGTCACTGAGGGGTACCGTGGTTTACCGCGTCACCGTGAGGTACCGTGGTTTACCACGTCACCACAGGTCACCGTGGTTTACCGCGTCACCGCGGGTTACCTCGGGCTACCCGAACTCGTCATTAGCCCCTGGCCCCTTGGCCCTGCTTGGCCCCAGGGCCAGATTCTCAGACATCTTGCGATCGCCAGCAGTCTCTCGCGGGTTTGGTTCCGGCTCGGTTAGCCCCCCCCCCCCCCCCCCCGGTGGTTGAAAAAAAAAATAAACCCCAACCCCGTACCGTGCTGGCTCGGTTCGGGTGCGCCGGTGGAAACGCGTGTGCGTGCGTGCGTGTGTGCGTGCGTGTGTGCGTGCGTGCGTGTGTGCGTGCGTGCGTGCGTGCGAGCGTGCGTGCGTGCGTACGTGTGTGCGAGCGTGCGTGTGTGCGTGCGTTCGTGCGAGCATGTGTGCGTGCGTGCGAGCTAGCGCTCACCCAGCAAGGAGAAGGAGTTTCCCGCGCAGTCTCCCGCCAGCTGGTAGCTGCACACCCCTGAGAAGTCGTACACACTGCCGTCGAACGTGTGGACCCAGCCGGGGCCGAACAGGCTGCACCGCCCGGGCCGCTCGTCATCTTCTCCTGCACCAAAGACAAAGTTCCCCCGTGTAGTAGCCTCGACAGACTGCTGGGGCGGGGCAAGTGCTGCCCGTAGCGAGGAGCGGCGCCTACGAAGGCCGGCACTGTGGCGCACAGATGGGGGTGGGTTGGCCAGCGCCACGCCCGGCCGCCTTTGTCTCCTGCACCATCATCGTCAGGAGCGGCAGCAGCATCGTCGGCACCCAGCATCAGGAGCAGCAGCAGCATCATCACGAGGAAATGGGAGAGTGGATGTATGCACTTTTGCATCGTACGTGGGCAACCGAGCTAATCGGAGGTGCGAGGCTAGGGGAACAAACTTAACACCACAACAACAACTAGCCGTTCTAAAAAAATGTTTTGTCAATCTTGATGATTGAAAAGGGCACAGCAATCGTGGAGGTAAAAGAGCATATCGGAGGAGGAGGAGGGGGAGGGGAGCTGTGGATGAAGGAGGGAGATGTGGATAAAGCTGTGGATGGAGGAAGCTGTGGATAGACAGAGGAGTGATGTGGATGAAGGAGGGAGCTGTGGATAGAGAGGGGAGAGCTGTGGATGGAGAGGAGAGAGCTGTGAATGAAGGAGGGAGCTGTGGATGAAGGAGGGAGCTGTGGATAGAGAGGGGAGAGCTGTGGATGAAGGAGGGAGCTGTGGATATAGAAGGGAGAGCTGTGGATGGAGGGAGCTGTGGATAGAGAGCGGAGAGCTGTGGATGAAGGAGGGAGCTGCGTGTGAGGGACGTGGAATAACCGGACCGTAAACCGTACTTGTCTATGCGTGTTGGTGGGGAGAGTGTCAGCTCCACTGTCATTGCTACATTCGAAAAAGACAAGTTTTGATGACTCGCTGGCAAGGGAGGGAGCGAGGCAAGGGAGGCGAGGGAAGGAGGGAGGATGGCGAGGGAGGGAGGGAGGATGGCGAGGGAGGGAGGTGAGGGAGGAAGGGAGGGAGGGAGGGAGGTGAGGGAGGAAGGGAGGGAGGGAGGGAGGTGAGGGAGGGAGGGGGGGAGGGAGGGAGGGAGGTGGGGGAGGTGAGGGAGGGAGGATGGCGAGGGGGGGAGGGAGGGGGGGAGGGAGGGAGGGAGGTGAGGGAGGGAGGGAGGTGAGGGAGGGAGGATGGCGAGGGGGGGAGGGAGGGAGGGAGGTGAGGGAGGTGAGGGAGGGAGGTGAGGGAGGGAGGGGGGGAGGGAGGGAGGGAGGTGAGGGAGGTGAGGGAGGTGAGGGAGGGAGGGAGGTGAGGGAGGGGGGGAGGGAGGTGAGGGAGGGAGGGGGAGAGGGAGGTGAGGGGGGGAGGGAGGTGAGGGAGGGGGGGAGGGAGGTGAGGGAGGGAGGGGGGGAGGGAGGTGAGGGAGGTGAGGGAGGGGGGAGGGAGGTGAGGGAGGTGAGGGGGGGAGGGAGGTGAGGGAGGGAGGGGGGAGGGAGGTGAGGGAGGGGGGGAGGGAGGTGAGGGGGGGAGGGAGGTGAGGGAGGTGAGGGGGGGAGGGAGGGAGGGAGGTGAGGGAGGTGAGGGAGGGAGGTGAGGGAGGTGAGGGAGGGAGGGAGGTGAGGGAGGGGGGGAGGGAGGTGAGGGAGGGAGGGGGAGAGGGAGGTGAGGGGGGGAGGGAGGTGAGGGAGGGGGGGGAGGGAGGTGAGGGAGGGAGGGGGGGAGGGAGGTGAGGGAGGTGAGGGAGGGAGTGAGGGGGGAGGGAGGTGAGGGAGGTGAGGGGGGGAGGGAGGTGAGGGAGGGAGGGGGGAGGGAGGTGAGGGAGGGGGGGGAGGGAGGTGAGGGGGGGAGGGAGGTGAGGGAGGTGAGGGGGGGAGGGAGGTGAGGGGGGGAGGGAGGTGAGGGGGGGAGGGAGGTGGGGGAGGGAGGGAGGTGAGGGGGGAGGGAGGTGAGGGAGGTGAGGGGGGGAGGGAGGTGAGGGAGAGGGGAGGGAGTCGTGTATTTTGGTTGGGTTCGGGATCACCACGGCGCTGTTGCCGGATGCGCGCGGCTCCGCGTGGCGCCACGCAGGGATGAGGATGGCTGTGTGCGTGCTGCAGGGTGCCCGGTGCTGCTGCTGCTGCTGTTGTTTTGTCTTCGTGCCAGTGAGTCACGGTCCCTATGGCTCGCGGGAATTCCTGTCCCGGGGACGGAGACCTCTTCCCACCACCCCACCCATCCCGACACCACCAACCCTGCCCCCACGTCTTACTGGATATCTTCATAGCTAATCGAATTTCTCCAGTATGAATACATATTCTGATTCTTCTTCGTCGTCTTCTTCTTCCCTCTGTCACGATGACAATGGCCAGGCGATGCTCATCATCGTCATCATCGTCGTCATCATCATCGGTGTCATCATCATCGCCATCATCGTTGTCATCATCATCGGCATCATCATCGGCATCATCATCGGTGTCATCGCCGTCGTATTGTCATCATCAGAGATGAGCAGCCACCAATAACATCAGCAGTGTGATCGTGATGATGTTGATGATGACGACGATGTTGAGTGGTAATTGACGGTGAGCGGCATCACCGTCATCATCACCGTCATTATCATCACCGTCATGATCATCATCACCGTCATGATCATCATCACCGTCATGATCATCACCGTCATGATCATCATCACCGTCATGATCATCATCACCGTCATGATCATCATCACCGTCATCGCCACCGTCATGATCATCACCGTCATGATCATCATCACCGTCATCATCGTCACCGTCAAGATCATAATCACCGTCATGATCATCATCACCGTCATGATCATCATCACCGTCATGAGCATCATCACCGTCATGAGCATCATCACCGTCATCGTCACCGTCATGATCATCACCGTCATCATCACCGTCATCATCATCACCGTCATGATCATCATCACCGTCATCATCGTCACCGTCATGATCATCACTGTCATGATCATCATCACCGTCAAGATCATAATCACCGTCATGATCATCATCACCGTCATGATCATCATCACCGTCACCATCACCATCATCATCACCGTCATGAGCATCATCACCGTCATGATCATCACCGTCATCATCATCACCGTCATCATCATCGTCACCGTCATGATCATCATCACCGTCATTATCATCATCGTCACCGTCATGATCATCATCACCGTCATCATCGTCACCGTCATGAGCATCATCACCGTCATGATCATCATCACCGTCATCATCGTCACCGTCATTATCACCGTCATGAGCATCATCACCTCCATGAGCATCATCACCGTCGTCATCGTCACCGTCATGATCATCATCACCGTCATGAGCATCATCACCGTCATGAGCATCACCGTCATGAGCATCATCACCGTCATCATCATCACCGTCATCATCATCACCGTCATGATCATCATCACCGTCATCATCATCACCGTCATGATCATCATCACCGTCATGATCATCATCGCCGTCATGATCATCATCACCGTCATGATCATCATCACCGTCATGATCATCATCGCCGTCATCATCATCGTCGTCGTCGTCATGATCGTCATCGTATTCATTGTTGCCACCATTGCCATCGTCATCATCATCGCTATCACTGACACAGCCTTTCTCTGTCTCGGCCCGAGACGTCGCCTAGATATTATTTTATATCTCACAAGGCCACGACAGCGGTGTTGGTATTGACACGGCGCGCATTGAGCCCTTTGTCATGTTGGTTGTGCATCAACAGCAGCATTATCATCACCATCACCAGATAATCTGTCATCTCCGAGTGGTGATGATACCCCCACTGGGCCCAATTAAGTGAAGAGGCGAGCGTGAAAGACGGATCCTGTGTGTGTGAGTGTGTGTGAGTCTGTGTGAGTGTGACTGTGAGTGTGTGTGAGTCTGTGTGAGTGTGTGACTGTGAGTGTGTGAGTGGTGGGGAGCGGTAGTGTAGCGGTTAGCGCTGCGCTGCGCTCCGAACCTTGCGACCCGAGTTCGATTCCCGCTCACGGCCAACACCATGGTGACGATTATCTTAACCGGTCCCGGGCCTCCCCTAGGTCGACTCAGCCTCAAATGAGTACCTGGTGCGGTGTGTAGTAAACATCGCCACTGGGGAGACAAAGGCGGCCGGGCGTGGTGCTGGCCACCCACCCCCTCGTGTACCGTTACCGGCCTTCATAGGTGCTCGCTAACAGCACTTGCCCCTACAGTCTGTTAAGGCTATATGGGGGATCTTTGTCTTTATCTTTGTGTGTGAGTGAGTGTGTGTGTGAGTGTGTGTGTGAGTGTGTGAGTGAGTGTGAGTGTATGTGTGAGTGTGTGTGAGTGTGTGTGAGTGTGTGTGAGAGTGTGTGAGTGTGTGTGAGCGTGAGTGTGTGAGTGTGGGTGAGTGTGTGTGACTGTGAGTGTGTGAGTGTGTGTGAGTGAGTGTGTGTGAGTGAGTGTGCGTGAGTGAGTGTGTGTGTGTGAGTGTGTGTGTGAGTGTGTGAGTGTGTGCGTGAGTGTGTGAGTGAGTGTGAGTGTATGTGTGAGTGTGTGTGAGTGTGTGTGAGAGTGTGTGAGTGTGTGTGAGCGTGAGTGTGTGAGTGTGGGTGAGTGTGTGTGACTGTGAGTGTGTGAGTGTGTGTGTGAGTGAGTGTGTGTGAGTGAGTGTGAGTGAGTGTGTGTGAGTGAGTGTGCGTGAGTGTGTGAGTGAGTGTGTGTGACTGTGAGTGTGTGTGAGTGTGCTTTATTGATCCGGTCAAGGCCTATGGGCTCTGGGTTGTTCTTCGTGCTTTTGAAGTACCTGACCCTCTGCTCACGATCATTAAGGACCTTCATGATGGTGAGTGGGCCCGGGTAAAATGACGTGGCCGGGAGTCCGAGCCTTTCTCTGTACACCTTGGAGTGCGACAGGGATGTCCTCTAGCTCCCACATTATTTCACATCTATTTCGACCACGTAATTCGTGAAGCCTTCAATAGCTGTACCGGGGGAATCTCCATATGGTACAGATATAATGGGAGGCTGATCGATGCCCGGGTGCGGTCAAGGGATGGCTCCCTATTGCTCAACCACGTTATGTATGCTGATGATTTGGTAATAGCTGCTCATTCAGAGGAGGAGTTGGAGACGCTGCTGCTGAGACTGGAGCGTGCCACGAAGAGGTGGGGCCTTACCATCAGCCCAACCAAAACTAAGCACCTGCCTGGGTATTTTGTACCATCGGACACTCCACCCCCACAACTCCCAATCGGTGATGGGGCAGTTGTGGAGAGAGTGGAGAGTTTCCCATACCTTGGCAGTGTGCTTATGACTGGCTCCAGTTTAACAGCAGAGGTCTCACTCCGAATCAGTCGAGCGGCAATATCTTTTCATCGGTTGCGTAACGCTGTGTGGAAGCTACCTGGTCTGTCGCTCCGCACTAAGCTTCAGGTCTTCTCGGCCACTGTCATTCCCTCCCTTCTCTACGCTTGCGAAACGTGGACCCCCCTAATGGAACATCTTCGCCGGTTGGAAACATTTAGGCTGGCCTGCCTACGATCCATCCTGGGTTTAACCAGACTGGATTGTGTGAGGAGCTCACAAATCCTTGAAAGATCTGGGCAGGGTCCCATCGGTGAGCTCCTCCGGCAGGGAAGGCTGCGTTGGCTGGGTCATGTAGCCCGCATGCCCAGCCACCGCATGCCGAAACAGCTTTTGTTTGGCCGGATTGAGGGGGCTAAGCGGGCGCGGCACGGGCTAGAGAAGAGATGGAGTGATGTGGTACAGGAGGGCGTGGAGCTGAGTGGACTTGCCGATGACTGGTACCAGCGGTGTCAAGATCGGCCTCTGTGGAGGAGGCTCGTGAAGGATGCTACTGGGCAGTTGGAGGCAGTCGCCCTCCAACAACAACGGAGGGCGGAGGAGCGACGCTCAGAACAACGAGCGGAGCGCCGGGTGGCTAAAGCACAGCAGGTTGGCACAGTAGGGGGCACAGGTGGTGCATCAGCCAGTCATCTCAGTCAGTCGACCCGTGGCACCTGGGTCTGCCCCGTGACCTCCTGCCAGCGGGCGTTCGACACTTCACGTGGCCTCAGGGTGCACATAGCCTGGCACAAGCGTCGTGGTGACGTCACCCCCACTTAGTGGCGAATGGCGGTTGTTGTTGTTTGTGTTAGTGTGTTAGTGTTTGAGTGAGTGTGTGTGTGAGTGTGTGAGTGTGTGTGTGAGTGTGTGAGTGCGTGAGTGTGTGAGTGAGTGTGTGAGTGAGTGTGTGTGTGAGTGTGTGAGTGAGTGTGTGAGTGAGTGTGTGAGTGAGTGTGTGAGTGTTTGAGTGAGTGAGTGTTTGAGTGAGTGCGTGAGTGTGTGTGAGTGTGTGAGTGAGTGTGTGAGTGAGTGTGTGAGTGAGTGAGTGTGTGAGTGAGTGTGTGAGTGAGTGAGTGCGTGAGTGTGTGTGTGAGTGTGTGAGTGAGTGTGTGTGTGAGTGTTTGTGTGAGAGTGTGAGTGTGTGAGTGTTTGAGTGAGTGAGTGCGTGAGTGTGTGTGTGAGTGTGTGTGTGTCTATGTGTGTGTGTGTCCATGTGTGTTTGTGTGTCTACGTGTATCTACGTGCGTCTGTGTGTGTGTCTATGTGTGTCAGTGTGTGTGGGGAGCGGTGGTGTAGTGGTTAGTGCGCTGCGCTATGAACCCGGCGATCCGAGTTCGATTCCCGCTCACGGCCAACACCAGTGACGATTATCTGAACCGGTTCTGGGCCTCCCCTAGGTCGACTCAGCCTCAAATGAGTACCTGGTGCGATGTGTAAACGTCGCCACTGGGGAGACAAAGGCGGCCGGGCGTGGTGCTGGCCACCCACCCCCTTCTGTACCGTTCCGGCCTTCAAAGGTGCTCGCTAACAGCACTTGCCCCAACAGACTGTTCAGGCTATACGGGGAATCTTTGGCTTTGTGTAAGTTATTGCGGAGCGAACAGAAATTGAAACTTGGTAAAGATAAATAAACAGAGCGACAACTGGCAAAGGCCTACGTGCTGATAGCGAACACCAACTAATGCCAACACACACACAGACAGACAAGCCAGATACAGAGACGAAGATCCCCCGTATAGCCTCTAAACGACTGTTGGGGCAAGTGCTGTTCGCTAGCACGTCACACGCGGGGGTGGTGGGTGGCCAGCACCACGCCCGCCCGGCCGCCTTTGTCTTCCCAGTGCTGACGTTTTACACACTTCACCAGGTACTCATTTGAGGCTGAGTCAAACCAATTGGAGGCGCAGGACCGATTCAAATGTTCACTGTCACTCTTGATGGTGGTGATGGTGGTGATGGTGGTGATTGTGATGGTGATGATGGTGGTGATGGTGATGATGGTTGTGGTGATGGTGGTGAGCGGGAATTGGAATCGGGGTCTCTGGCCATGGTCGTAGGGCGACGCGCTAACCGCTGCGCCACCGCTCCTCACGGCGCGCTAACCGCTGCGCCACCGCTCCTCGCGGCGACCCCGCAGGAGACGCAGCACGCACACACAGAGACACACCGACACTGGGACACATCGCATCACAGCAGGCTGCTCGATCATTCTTTGACGCGTCCTCTCCTCGTGATGCCTCCATTCATCCCGTTTCCGCGAGGTGGTCATTGATAAGAGAGAGAGAGAACGCGAATTTCCATTCATAAGAAAATATCCACGCGCGCGCCAGTCAGCAGCACCCATTGACGAACAGTCGGCACTACACAGACAAAGATCCCCCGTGTAGCCTTTTTTGGGGCAAGTGTTGTCAGCAAGCGCCTACAGTATGAAGGCAAATATCGCGCGCCGTGCCGGCCTTCATAGGCGCTGCTACTCGTTAACAGCACTTGCCCCAACAGTCTGTTCAGGCTACACGGGGGATCTTTGTCGTTATCTGTATGAACTTACCTGGAATGTCGCTCGCCGCAGTGAGTAGAGCGAACAGGGCGATCGAGACCAGCTGCGGAGAGAAAACACCGCCACGGGTAGGTTCATTGGTTTCAAGTGTCAGATTGGTTCCGTGTGGCCAGACTGAGATGGCGAGTGAGTGAATGAGATGGTGAGTGAGTGAGATGGTGAGTGAGTGAGATGGCGAGTGAGTGAGATGGTGAGTGAGTGAGATGGCGAGTGAGTGAGATGGTGAGTGAGTGAGTGAGATGGTGAGTGAGTGAGTGAGATGGTGAGTGAGTGAGATGGCGAGTGAGTGAGATGGTCAGTGAGTGAGATGGCGAGTGAGTGAATGAGATGGTGAGTGAGTGAGATGGTGAGTGAGTGAGATGGCGAGTGAGTGAATGAGATGGTGAGTGAGTGAGATGGCGAGTGAGTGAATGAGATGGTGAGTGAGTGAGATGGTGAATGAGTGAATGAGATGGCGAGTGAGTGAGTGAGATGGCGAGTGAGTGAATGAGATGGTGAGTGAGTAAGTGAGATGGTGAGTGAGTGAGTGAGATGGTGAGTGAGTGAATGAGATGTTGAGTGAGTGAGTGAGATGGCGAGTGAGTGAATGAGATGGCGAGTGAGTGAGTGAGATGGTGAGTGAGTGAGTGAGATGTTGAGTGAGTGAATGAGATGGCGAGTGAGTGAGTGAGATGGTGAGTGAGTGAGTGAGATGGTGAGTGAGTGAGTGAGTGAATGAGATGGTGAGTGGGTGAGTGAGATGTTGAGTGAGTGAATGAGATGGCGAGTGAGTGAGATCTTGAGTGAATGAGATGGTTAGTGAGTGAGTGAGATGGTGAGTGAGTGAGTGAGATGTTGAGTGAGTGAGATGGCGAGTGAGTGAGTGAGATGTTGAGTGAGTGAGATGGTGAGTGAGTGAGTGAGATGGCGAGTGAGTGTCACTTCCATGCACACTGAGTGTCACAGCCATACACACTAAGTGTCACTTCCATGCCCACTGAGTGTCACTTCCATGCCCACTGAGTGTCACAGCCATACACACTGAGTGTCACTTCCATACACGCTAAGTGTCACTTCCATACACACTAAGTGTCAGCCATACACACTAAGTGTCACTTCCATACACACTAAGTGTCACAGCCATACACACTGAGTGTCACATCCATACACACTGAGTGTCACAGCCATACACACTAAGTGTCACTTCCATACACACTGCGTGTCACTTCCATATACATTGAGTGTCACAGCCATACACACTAAGTGTCACAGCCATACACTAAGTGTCACTTCCATACACACTGAGTGTCACTTCCATGCCCACTGAGTGTCACAGCCATACACACTAAGTGTCAGCCATACACACTAAGTGTCACTTCCATACACACTAAGTGTCACAGCCATACACACTGAGTGTCACATCCATACACACTGAGTGTCACTTCCATACCCACTGAGTGTCACAGCCATACACACTAAGTGTCAGCCATACACACTGAGTGTCAGAGCCATACACACTAAGTGTCACATCCATACACACTAAGTGTTACTTCCATATACACTAAGTGTCACTTCCGCCCACTGAGTGTCACAGCCATACACACTGAGTGTCACTTCCATTCCCACTGAGTGTCACAGCCATACACACTGAGTATCACAGCCATACACACTAAGTGTCACTTCCATTCCCACTGAGTGTCACAGCCATACACACTAAGTGTCACATCCATACACACTAAGTGTCACTTCCATGCCCATTGAGTGTCACATCCATACACACTAAGTGTCACATCCATACACACTAAGTGTCACTTCCATACACACTAAGTGTCACATCCATACACACTAAGTGTCACTTCCATACACACTAAGTGTCACAGCCATACACACTAAGTGTCACTTCCATACACACTAAGTGTCACTTCCATACACACTAAGTGTCACAGCCATACACACTAAGTGTCACTTCCATGCCCACTGAGTGTCACAGCCATACACACTAAGTGTCACATCCATACACACTAAGTGTCACTTTCATGCCCACTGAGTGTCACAGCCATACACACTGAGTGTCACTTCCATACACACTAAGTGTCACAGCCATACACACTGAGTGTCACATCCATACACGCTAAGTGTCACTTCCATACACACTAAGTGTCACTTCCATATACACTAAGTGTCACTTCCATATACACTAAGTGTCACTTCCATATACACTAAGTGTCACAGCCATACACACTAAGTGTCACAGCCATACACACTGAGTGTCACTTCCATGCCCACTGAGTGTCACAGCCATACACACTAAGTGTCACTTCCATATACACTAAGTGTCACTTCCATGCCCACTGAGTGTCAGAGCCATACACACTAAGTGTCACAGCCATACACACTAAGTGTCACAGCCATACACACTGAGTGTCACTTCCATGCCCACTGAGTGTCACAGCCATACACACTAAGTGTCACTTCCATACACACTAAGTGTCACTTCCATATACACTAAGTGTCACTTCCATATACACTAAGTGTCACTTCCATGCCCACTGAGTGTCAGAGCCATACACACTGAGTGTCATAGCCATACACACTAAGTGTCACTTCCATACACACTAAGTGTCACTTCCATATACACTAAGTGTCACTTCCATGCCCACTGAGTGTCAGAGCCATACACACTGAGTGTCACAGCCATACACACTAAGTGTCACTTCCATATACACTGAGTGTCACATCCATACACACTAAGTGTCACAGCCATACACACTGAGTGTCACAGCCATACACACTCAGTGTCACAGCCATACACACTGAGTGTCACAGCTATACACACTAAGTGTCACAGCCATACACACTGAGTGTCACTTCCATGCCCACTGAGTGTCACATCCATGCCCTCCACATACCTTGGCCATGCCCTTGGCTACAGACGTTGGACCTGAGAGGGTGCCGCTGTTGATCGCCACCACCACCACCACCAGCACCACCACCAGCAGCACCACCAGCAGGACCACCACCACCAGCAGCACCAGCAGCACCACTACCACCAGAAGCAGCACCACCACTAGCAACAGCAGCAGCTACCGCATTTGTACGGATCCAACGGGGGAGGAGGAACAGGAGGGAGGAGGAGGAGGGAGGACGAGGTGTGAGAAAGAGGAGGAGCAGGAGGAGGAGGACGAGGTGTGAGAAAGAGGAGGAGCAGGAGGAGGAGGACGAGGTGTGAGAAAGAGGAGGAGGAGGAGCAGGAGGAATGAACAGCAGGAGTGAAGAGGGGAGTGTGGAGTGATTTGGGATTCTCCGAGTTCGTTTTTCACGGTTCGATTCCCACCCCGCTCTTTCCCCTATTGCCTGCATCAGAATGTTGCCAGACGTAAAACTATCAACGACTTTTTGTTACTTGACCAGGTAAAGCCCAACTGAGCTACGCAGATCTTCTTCAGAAGCAACCTGGCCATCGCACATCTCAGTTTTCTCAGATTATTTAGCGCAACGACGAAGTGGTTCATCATCAGCAGCAGCATGGAACTGTACAGCAGCAGCAGCCAAAGGCTTGGTTCTAGATGTGGAGGAGAAGAACCGGAGGAGGACCCGGAGACAAATCCACGCAGTGACCACCACAAGGAGACAAGGAGAGAGACACGCGCAGACGCCACGTATACAGCAGCAGCAGCAGGCGTCGTCAGGGTCGGGGTCGAACCCACGACCTCCTGTAGACCTGGCGAGGTAGTCAACATCTGCTCGCCACGGCGGTGATGATGATGATGATGAGAGAGAGAGACGCAGACTCCACGTACACAGCAGCAGCAGCAGGCGTCGTCAGGGTCGGGGTCGAACCCACGACCTCCTGTAGACCAGGCGAGGTAGTCAACATCTGATAGCCACGGCGGTGATGATGATGATGAGAGAGAGAGACGCAGACTCCACGTACACAGCAGCAGCAGCAGGCGTCGTCAGGGTAGGAGTCGAACCCACGACCTCCTGTAGACCAGGCGAGGTAGTCAACATCTGCTCGCCACGGCGGTGATGATGATGAGAGAGAGAGACGCAGACTCCACGTACACAGCAGCAGCAGGCGTCGTCAGGGTCGTGGTCGAACCCACGACCTCCTGTAGACCAGGCGAGGTAGTCAACATCTGATAGCCACGACGGTGATGATGATGATGAGAGAGAGAGAGAGACGCAGACTCCACGTACACAGCAGCAGCAGCAGCAGGCGTCGTCAGGGTAGGAGTCGAACCCACGACCTCCTGTAGACCAGGCGAGGTAGTCAACATCTGCTCGCCACGGCGGTGATGATGATGAGAGAGAGAGACGCAGACTCCACGTACACAGCAGCAGCAGCAGGCGTCGTCAGGGTCGGGGTCGAACCCACGACCTCCTGTAGACCAGGCGAGGTAGTCAACATCTGATAGCCACGGCGGTGATGATGATGAGAGAGAGAGAGACGCAGACTTCACGTACACAGCAGCAGCAGCAGGCGTCGTCAGGGTCGGGGTCCAACCCACGACCTCCTGTATACCAAGAGAGGTAGTCAACATCTGCTAGCCACGGCGGTGATGATGATGATGATGAGAGAGAGAGACGCAGACTCCACGTACACAGCAGCAGCAGCAGGCGTCGTCAGGGTCGTGGTCGAACCCACGACCTCCTGTAGACCAGGCGAGGTAGTCAACATCTGCTCGCCACGGCGGTGATGATGATGAGAGAGAGAGAGAGACGCAGACTCCACGTACACAGCAGCAGCAGCAGGCGTCGTCAGGGTCGGGGTCGAACCCACGGAGCAGCAGCGGCGGCGGCGGCGGCGTTTTCACTCGGCCATCGAATCAAAGACGGCGGCGGTCACTGCACCATCATCATCATCATCACCGTCGTCATCATCACCGTCGTCATCATCATCATCACCGTCGTCATCATCACAGTCGTAATCATCACCATCGTCATCATCACCGTCGTCATCATCATCACCACTATTGTCGTTGTCATCACCGTCGTCATCATCATAATCACCGTCGTCATCATCATCATCACCGTCGTCATCATCATCACCGTCATCATCATCGCTGTCGTCATCATCACCGTCGTCATCATCACAGTCATCATCATCATCACCGTCGTCATCATCATCATCACCGTCGTCATCATCATCATCGTCGTCATCATCACTGTCGTCATCATCACCGTCGTCATCATCACCGTCGTCATCATCATCATCACCGTCGTCATCATCATCAATCAGCACCGTCGTCATCATCACCGTCGTTATCATCATCATCATCACCATCGTCGTCATCATCACCATCACTGTCGTCATCATCACCGTCGTCATCATCACCGTCGTCATCATCACCGTCGTCATCATCATCATCATCACCGTCGTCATCATCACCGTCGTCATCATCATCACCGTCGCCATCATCATCACCGTCGTCGTCATCATCATCACAGTCATCATCACCGTCGTCACCGTCATCACCGTCGTCACCATCATCATCAGCGTCGTCATCATCATCAACGTCGCCATCATCACCGTCGTCATCATCATTACCATCATCATCATCATCACCATCATCACCGTCGTCATCACCACCGTCGTCGTCGTCATCACCATCGTCGTCATCATCACCGTCGTCATCACCATCGTCGTCATCATCACCGTCGTCATCATCACCGTCGCCATCATCACCGTTGTCATCATCATCACCGTCATCATCATCACCGTCGTCATCATCACCGTCGTCATCATCACCGTCGTCATCATCATCACCGTTATCACCGTCATCATCATCATCACCGTCGTCATCATCATCACCGTCGTCATCATCACCGTCGTCATCATCACTGTCGTCATCATCACCGTCGTCATCATGACCGTCGTCATCATCATCATCACCGTCGTCATCATCATCAATCATCACCGTCGTCATCATCACCGTCGTCATCATCACTGTCGTCATCATCACCGTCGTCATCATCGTCGTCGTCATCATCATCACCGTCGTCATCATCATCATCACCGTCGTCATCATCGTCGTCGTCATCATCATCACCGTTATCACCGTCGTCATCATCACCGTCGTCATCATCATCACCGTCATCATCATCACCGTCGTCATCATCACCGTCGTCATCATCATCACCGTCGTCATCATCATCAATCATCACCGTCGTCATCATCACCGTCGGCATCATCACTGTTGTCATCATCACCGTCGTCATCATCACTGTCATCATCATCACCGTCGTCATCATCATCATCACCGTCGTCATCATCTTCGTCGTCATCATCACCGTCGTCGTGTGGCGCTTTCAGATGCGCTGCTTTTGCGGGCCGTCTGGAACGCTCTTCCCTTCCGCTATTAGGAAGCCACTGGGCAGTTACGCACTTTTAAATCATCATCACCTAGATTGACAAACTCGTTTCTCCATAACTGCTTCTTGTTGTTGTTGTGTTTTAGTTTGCTGTCCTTCCCCCGCACCTCCTATTAGCCCGGTTGGCTATGTACGGTGCTAAATAAGTTTAAAAAAATGATCCCCCGTATAACCTTAGCAGACTGTTGGGGCAAGTGTTGTTAGCGAGCAGCACCTATGAAGGCCAGAACGGCACGCGAGTTGGTGGGTGGCCAGCACCACGCCCGGCCGCCTTTGTCTCCCCAGTGGCGATGTTTACTACACACCGCACCAGGTACTCCTTTGAGGCTGAGTCGACCTAGGGGAGGCCCAGGACCGGTTCAGATAATCGTCACCATGGTGTTGGTGGCCGCGAGCGGGAATCGAACTCGGGTCGCAAGGTTCGGAGCGCAGCGCAGCGCTAACCGCTATGCCACTGCTCCCCGCCAAAGAAAGTTCAGCACACACACACATAGACACAGACAAACACACGCACACACAACAACAACCGCCATTCGCCACTAAGTGGCGGTGACGTCACCACGACGCTTGTGCCAGCCCATGTGCACCTTGAGGCCACGTGAAGTGTCGACCGCCCGCTGGCAGGAGGTCACGGGGCAGACCCAGCAGGTGCCACGGGTCGACTGACTGAGATGACTGGCTGATGCACCACCTGTGCCCCCTACTGTGCCAACTTGCTGTGCTTTAGCCACCCGGCGCTCCGCTCATTGTTGTGAGCGTCACTCCTCCGCCCTCCGTTGTTGTTGGAGGGCGACTGCCTCCAACTGCCCAGTAGCGTCCTTCACGAGCCTCCTCCTCCACAGAGGCCGACCTTGACACCGCTGGTACCAGTCATCGGCAAGTCCACTCAGCTCCACGTCCTCCTGTACCACATCACTCCATCTCTTCTCCAGCCCGTGCCGCGCCCGTTTAGCCCCCTCGATCCGGCCGAATAAAAGCTTCATCTTCTTTGGTTCTGTCGGTAAAGTCACGTAGAATGAGAATAAAATAATAAATTGTTATTTTATTTCATCAATTTATTATTTTATTCTCATTCGACGTGACTTTACCGAAAGAACCAAAGAAAATGAATCCTTGCAGTCACAAAAGCTTTAAATCGAAATCGAACAAAAGCTGTTTAGGCATGCGGTGGCTGGGCATGCGGGCTACATGACCCAGCCAACGCAGCCTTGCCTGCCGGAGGAGCTCACCGATGGGACTTTGTCCACATCTTTCAAGGATTCGTAAGCTCCTCACACAATCCAGCCTGGTTAAACCCAGGATGGATCGTAGGCAGGCCAGCCTAAATGTTTCTAACCAGCGAAGATGTTCCATTAGGGGGGTCCACGTTTCGCAAGCGTAGAGAAGGGAGGGAATGACCGTGGCCGAGAAGACCTGAAGCTTAGTGCGGAGCGACAGACCAGGTAGCTTCCACACAGCGTTACGCAACCGATGAAAAGATATTGCCGCTCGACTGATTCAGAGTGAGACCTCTGCTGTTAAACTGGAGCCGGTCATGAGCACACTGCCCAGGTATGGGAAACTTTCCACTCTCTCCACAACTGCCCCATCACCGATTGGGAGTTGTGAGGGTGAAGTGTCCGATGGTACAAAATACCCAGGCAGGTGCTTAGTTTTGGTGGGGCTGATGGTAAGGCCCCACCTCTTAGTGGCACGCTCCAGTCTCAGCAGCAGCGCCTCCAACTCCTCCTCTGAGCAGCTATTACCAGAGCATCGGCATACATAACGCACACACACGCACACACACACACCCCAGTGTTGAACGTTTATACACACACACACCGTGCCAGGTACTCTACTCATTTAGGGCTGAGTCGACCTAGGGGATGCCGAGGACCGGTTCAATTATTCGACACCGTTTATTTGGCCGTGCTAGGGGGAATCGATCCCGGGTCACCGGGTTCGCATCGCCCGGCGCTGCCCACTGCGCCCACCGCCCTCCGAGCCAGGAACACATCCACCACCACCTCCACTCAGCACTGTGGGGGTGGGTGGGTTCGGGGAGCGGTGGCGCAGTGGTTATCGCACTGCGCTAATAACCCGGTGA